GAAAATTAATAAAATATAATTTAAAAAAAAAAAAAAAGAAGAGCATATTGTACAAACAGAAACCTGAGGTCCAGGAAAGCGCAAGAAATAACAGCCTAAAGCACCTACTCTAAGCAGATCCCCGATCTAAGAAGGTCCTGAAAACTTGGATGCATGACAGCACTCAGCACCTCCGCGTTCCTGAGGAAAAGGGGGGCGGGGGAGAAAGGTGGTCAGCACGTGATCTGTGCGGGGTTGGGGTTGGGGGTGGGGTGGCACAGAGCAGGCGGAACGTGCGCGCGCTGGTCATTGCGTTTCAGGCCGGAGACTTTTGTGAAACGCCCCACGTGCCTTGGTGGGCGGTGGCGGCGAAGGCAGCGGCGGGGAGATCCGGAAGTCAACACCATGTCGAGCCTGCACAAGAGCCGGTAATGAGCCACACGGGCCTGCCCGTTTAGGTCACTCCCGGCCAGGCCATCCCTTTGTCCTCAGAATGGGAAGCATGGGTGTAACCAGGAATTCTCCAGTGTTGGGACTTGGGCGTCCACTGTTTATGGGCCCGAGACGGAGACACCTCTGCTTTTCTCAGCATTTTCCATTCCCCGCACCCCGGGTTCTTGGATTCTCTCTTCCTCGTATCTACATCTTTCTTAACTAAGGCTTTGAGACCCTGCACTCCATCCCCACCTTCTCTCCAGTTTCTCCCTTACCCTACTCAGTATCCTCTTTCCAAAAGTACACGGGTCCCACTTGCCCCTTTCTTACTGAAAGTGCTAGAGAACCTGGATTCTTCTGCTAGCTTTCCCCCTCCAGATCGCATCCTGTATGTAGCATTAACTAAATGTACCCACAGTAAAGTTATCCTCCGGGACTTAATTTAAAAATTTTTTGTCTTCACCTGCTGCAGTTCCAAACCCCAAAGCCACTATCGCTTCCAACTCCTAGTGACTCTATAGTATATGATAGAATTGCTCCACAGGGTTTCCAAGGCTGAAAATCTTTACAGAAGTAAGCGGATTGTTACATTTTTTCTCTCGTTGAGTGCCTGGTGGGAGTTAACACCTCCTTTGTCCGGCAGCTGAATGCTAAGTCACTGTACCGGGACTTCTTGGTAGCTCCATAGATCTTCATAGTGGTTGTGCTTTTGAGTTTGGAAAGCTAGCCGAATGCAGATTACACAAGACCATTATCTGCTGATCAAATTACTCCTGGTGCCTAAGGTTATTGAGTGTCTATAGTATGGTACTATGGGCTGGACCTGCCCAGTAGGAAGTGTCCAATTACGCCAGTTCTGCAAATATTATAATGTGTCTAATTTTATGGTGTGTGGTTGAGAATCTCTATACAAGAATATTTCTGACATTTTTTTCATTGGCATTCTGTGTCTCTGGGCTTAGAGGAAAATGTGATAGTGGAGAGATCACATTTATAGTTCCTAAAGGTTGCCTTACATAACTTCAATGGCTCAATAGTAAAGGATTGTGAGGCCAACCCAAAAGTATGTGGTTCGATTCCATCAGCTGTTCTGTGGAACAATCTCCTCCTTTGCGATTTTCTGCCCCTGAAAAGCTGATAGAGGTTCAGCTCTGGGTTGGTTCTGAAACAACAAAAATTGCTTTTGGTTAGGACCTTGATGAGCTTCACCATCTTTATATACTGAAGGTGGAGGGAGGGGCAGCTTGGAAACAGGTGGCGGGAAGAGCCTATGGGCTGAAAGCTTGCCACTAAACCTTCCACTTTGAGGATGCACTCTGTTTGCTTCCCCTATTCCTTTCTAGGATTGCAGATTTCCAAGATGTCTTGAAGGAACCCACGATTGCCTTGGAAAAGCTTCGGGAACTCAGTTTTAGTGGTAAGAGGCAGCTCTATTTTCAGGATTCCACTAGGATAGCTTTGTGACCAGGATGGGAAGGGAGGATGCCCAGTGTCACATCTGGTCAGTGCCAGAGGTCAGACTACTGGAGACTTCTCTAGTCTTCTCCAGGTTCCATAGCTGAATCAGTGACTTCCCTGAGCCTGGAGGACCATAGTTAACATTCCTATAGGAGGGCGCCCAGGTGGTGGAAGTCTGTAGAGAGTTGGATTACTCAAAGGCCATGACTCCCTGCTGGTTTGACTCTACTAGCCACTCTGTGTGAGAAAAATGGACAGTCTCCTGTGATTTCCGGACTTCCCAAACCTGGAGAGTCAATTATGAGTTAGTTCTGACTTGATGGCAATGAGTGAGAGTGAGGTTCTAAACCAGGAACTGTCAGATTCTTGGGAGTAAGTTGAAAAGATTAAGACTCAAAATAAGAAGAGTGTAGAGAGGAGACATTTTGAGCCAGATCAGGTCTTTTCCTCATTGTTTTATAAACTTTCTGTGTTGTAGAATTTGGTTACTCCAGAATTGTTACTGGTTTTCTCCCAGGCCATAGAAGGTTGTAGGAGACAATGAACTTTGTGTCTGGTGAAAGTCCAGCCTCTGACTTTAAGGAACTGCCTCTCAGTAATGCTTGACTTTGCTCTCTGTGATGTGGTTAACTTTTCAGCACAGAGAGAACCCACTTTTTGCCTGTCTTTGGAGATAGTGGTTGTTGTTAGGTGCCATTCTGTTGATTCTGACTCATAGTGACGCTGTGCATACAAGAGAATGAAATATTGCCTGATTGTATTGGAGCTCATTATTGCAACCATTGTGTCCATCTTCTTGAGAATCTTAGCAGGATGCTTTGTTTAGCTTCTTGTCACTGCTCTGCAACTATAGCTTGGCCAGCAAGGGATTCTTAAAGTATACCCTCATCTCCATCCAGATTCTGATGACGGGGTATCAGCTAGTGTTCACAACATGTAGGGTGCCATAACAACAACTGCTGTGGAGAGGTTTTGGAGCATATTATAGGAGAAGTTTATCTCTGTTTTGACAGTCTGATCTTGAACTTTCCTGAGATCTGTGTTGGTATCTCCTTCATACCTAAGAGAAGGCAGTCTAAGGTAGTGATTAAGACGCACTTGTGTACCCCACATACCTGGTTCACTTTACCTAGCAGGAGAAATTGCAAGATGTACTTAAAATAGCAACAATAAAATGTAGAGATTTTTAAAAATTAAAAAAAAAAAAGACGCACTTGTGTTTAAATTCTTGCTTGTTCTGATGAAATGAGGACACTGATGCCCATTTTCCCTGCCTACTAGGGTTAAATAGTATGATTCTAACAAGCCTTGCTGGCATAATACGTTAAATGGTGGGATGCTAGCTCAGATACCAGTTTGAACTCACCAGCTGTTTTATGGGAGAAACATGAGCCAGTCTGCTTTGTTAAGTTTTTTAAGATTCAGTAGCCTAGTGGAGGGTCACGCCACGAATTAGAATCAGTTCAACCGCATTGGGCTTGGGTTTTGGTTTAGATAAGATTGTAATAGTAAAATAACTTCTGTAAAGTACTCAGTGTTTATAGCTTTTTTTATAGTCTGGACATACTTAAGGAATACCTTCTGTGCATCATGGCTCTGTGGTAGACTCTAGGAATATAAGATGTGCTGCTTGGTTTTGGACAGTTTACTCAGTAGTACATACAGATTACCAAGGTTAAAGAAATGCAAGCGTATTATACCAATATGTGATGCATGCTATGAATGAGAAGTCGTAGGGCAATTACTCCTTATAACAAGGAGACCTGACTTTGATTGGGAGACATGGTGTTGGTAAAGGCTGCTCAGAGGAGGCAATACCCAGGATAAGATTGAAATGGTGTTATTCTGAGAACATGGCAGATAAAGGAGGTCTGGGCTAGCCTGGGGCTGTGGAGGGCTATTAAACCTGGTTTGGCATCCATCTGGTCCAGCAGTCTCTGATGGGAACATGATTCTTGAAGTACCTTTTGCCCACCCTACTGGTTCCTGAGTAGAGGACTGGGGATTCTGGAACTCTGGCCTCGGGTGTGACCTTTGCCTGCTGTGTCCACAGGCATACCCTGTGAGGGCGGACTGCGGTGCCTCTGCTGGAAGGTGGGTGTGCCTGGGGTGGGACTTCTGCTCTGCCTAGTCTCCAGTCTCTGGGTTCCTGCATGGTCTGTACCCACCCCAGTCTCTTCTTCCTGTCCTGTGCCTTTCCTTGCTTGCCTTAGGTAGCTTTTCTGGACAGTTCTGGGTTTTCTCTTCTTGACATCCCCTCCAGGATCACCTTAGGGACAAGCCACTTTCTAATGCCAATGAAACCCTCTGCTTCCTAGTCATACATTGTAGTGGAAGCAGTACTTACTGGAACAAATGAAAAAGGGCCAAAGTTGTTTGCTTAGATGAGGGCAAAAGCTCAGTGTTTCCAGTTCCCTTGAGCACAAGGTTATGTTACCATTTGGATGAGTCTTTGTGACACAAAGCAGAGGAAAGGGGTAATTTGAGAGAAAAGAGGCAGTGGGAGGAAAGGGGAAGCTGTCCCCCCATGTTCCTGGGTTTGAGTCCCATCTTATCTTCTCTGGGATTTAGTAGCCATTTTCCTCAAGGCCTGTCAGCCTCTACCCCCTTTCCAGGGTTGGGATGCGGGGACCCACCAGAGGCTTACCTCTTTCCATTTATACAGATTCTTTTGAACTATCTCCCCTTGGAGAGAGCCTCATGGACTTCCATCCTGGCCAAGCAGAGGTAAGTTCCATGAAAGACGATAATAGAGGACCTTTAGATCTGATCAAACAGGAGGTAGAGAGGCCATCTTGCCTTTGCCTGCTGTTCTGCACCACCTGGGCAAGACCTTTGGGAATCATCCGCTATCCTCCTTCTCTCCTACAGGGAGCTATATTCTCAGTTCCTGAGGGAGATGATTATCCAGCCAGGCATTGCCAAGGCCAACATGGGAGTGTCAAGGGAGGATGTAACCTTTGAGGACCATGTGAGTTGGAGTGGGTTTGGGAGTTAGAGTGGGGACAAGTGGAGGTTTTTGAGCAGGTAAGATTCTCCTTACTCTGAAGCAGGCTTTGATTCCCCTCTGGAACCTTTAGTGGCTCTTTTCTATATTTGGCTTCTTGGCCTCTGAACACCATTCTCCTCTTCCTCAGGTCTAGGCAAACTGTGGGTGCCCTCAACCCAGCCAGTAACATAATGATAACTAGCACTGTGTCAAGTGTACATTCGTTCTCTCTAATCCTCATCCTGGTTCTTTGAGGAGGATAAACTTTCTGGAAACTGGAGGAAGCCTTGTTCCATCTGCAAACACTGAGCTCCTCCCTATATGTTTTGTTGGTTTTTAAAAAATTGTACTTATTTAATATTAATTTATTGTTGCACATCTCCCTATATATTTACAGTGACAGAAGAAAATTGGATATATTCTTTTTGACAGGTCAGAGCACTAATAAATTAGATTTTAAAAGACCTATTGTATCACATTAGGGAGTTCTGGTAGCTTAATAGGAAGGAATTGAGTTACCAACCTAAAGGTGTGCAGTTTGAATCTACCCGCTGCTCTGCATAAGAAAAAGGAGCAGTCTCCTCCCACATAATGTACTGTCTGTGAAAACCTGCAGGAGAGTCAGATGTGAGTCAGTGTGATGTGATGGTACATATCTTGATGGTACAAATCTGCTGTCAAAGACTTCTCCAAAACTCTGAGAAGCAACAGTGTCGGTTTAAAAAATTAAGGCAGCTCTGGTGGCCTAGTGGCAAGAAGCTGCACTGCAATCCCAGAGATGTGCGGTTTGAATCCACCAGATGCTCTGCTGGAGAAGGAGGGACGATCTCCTCCTATACCAGTTAGATCTGCTTTGACGGTACACGCACAAAAATTAATAAAATAAATTAAAAAAAAAATAAAAAATTAGGGTGCACCTGATCCAATCCATCATCTTTTCAGTTACTAGTATGTGTCTGAAAGTTGGACAGTGAATAAGGATTATAGAAGAATTAATGCCTTGAGTTATGTTAGAGAAGAGTACTAAATATCCAGTGGACTGCTAAAAACCCCAACTATGTCTTGGAGAAACTGTAACCAGGTACTTCATAGAGGCAGGGATGGTCAAAGTTCATCTCACAAACTTTGGGCATCCTACTAGGAAGGCCTAGTCCTTGGAAAAATACTTGGTTGTGCTTGGAAAGGTGGAAGGTTGGTGAAAGAGAGGAAGATCCTCAACCAGATAGATTGACACAGAGACTGCAACAGTGGGCTTGAGAATATCAGAGATGATGAGGATGGCACAGGACAGAGCAGGGTACAGATCTGCTGATCATAGGGTTGCTGTGAGTGGTAGTGGACTTGGCAGCACACGACAGTGTTAAAATAAGGAGCTCTAATGCTGTAGTCTGTAGCGGGTTGTGCTGCTAGCAAACCAAGAGGCTGAGCATCTCTGGCATTTCAAATCCACCAGCTGCTCTGAGGGAGAAAAATGGGCACTCTTCTCTTGTTCAAGATTTACAACATTGGAAACATGATGGAGGGTTACTGTGAGTCGTAGGATCCTGGTAGTACAATGGGCCTGATACATGGCTGCTAACTAAAAGTTGGAAAGCACTCTAGTGGAGTAGTCTGTAGTCAGTTGTGCTACTCTCCCAACAGCTGTGCACATCTCTGGTGGTTTGAATCCACTATTGGTTCCATGAGAGAAAGATGGCCACCATTCCTCTTACTGTAATGTATGGCTTTAGAAACCCATGGCACATGACAGTGAGTAAGTAACTAAAAGTTGAGTGGTTCAGACCTTCCCATAATTCTTCAAGACAGACAGACATGGTGATCTGCTTCTGGGGAGATTACAGGCCTAGGAAGCCATGTGGGGCAGTTCTCTGTCATAGAGAGTCACTTTGTTTGGATTGGACTTGATGGCAACAACAACAAGGCTATGGCTGAGGAGAGGAAGAACAGTCCCTGCCAAATAAAGATGCAGAGCTCCAGCAGAGGACAGGAAAACAGTCCCTGCCAAATAGAGATATCCACAAGGCCGATAACAGGACTGGCTGTGGACTTTGAACATGCTGGGTTGGAGGTGGGCTTGCTCATGTAATTCCACAGTTGAGTGTACAGTGTCTTCCCTGTGGCCCCAGCTGGGCCTAGGATGAAGTCACTGCTTTTCCCCCACAGCCACTCAACCCCAACCCTGACAGTCGATGGAACACATACTTCAAGGATAATGAGGTGCTGCTGCAGATCGACAAAGATGTCCGGTAAGTGAGTCCACCTGGGGGTCTGCACACTGGCCATGGGCCCTCTGAGTGGTTTTCTGGCTCCACTTTAACTTTTCCAGCCCAGGTCCCCAGGGTGGTACCTTGGGAGCTGTTTGGTTGTTGAGTCTAGGCTTCATTGATGGTGGGTTCAGGGAGGAGCTGGCAAGTGCACTGAGTGAGTGGGGTCCTGTGCTTGTATTGGCAGACATTGCTTTATCCCTCAATAAGTGTTCTAGGGATGTCCTGACAAATTACACAAACTAGGTGGCTCCAAAAGTAGAAACTAGATCTTTGTCTGTGCTGGAATCTAGAAGTCCTAAATCAAGGACTTGGCAAAGGTTCTCCTGTGGAAGGCTCCAGGGGAGAATCTTTTCCTTGACATTTTCACCTTTTGTTTTTACTGACAGCACTTGCTGTCATTTCATTCTCTGCTTGTGGCTGCAAAAAGTATTGATAAGTAAGACTCCATTGCAAGTTTCTGGATGTTGTTGTTGTTTTTATGAGCCGTCGAGTTGACTATGACTCATAGCGACCCTATGTACAACATCCCTAACCCTTGCTCTATCCTGTGCCAATCTCACTGTCTCCAACACACCTAGCCTGATTACCCGAGTCACTGAATCAGTCTGCCTCATAGAGGGTCTTCCTCTCCTGCGCTGTCCCTCCACTCTCTCAAGCATGACATCCTTCTCCAAGGACTGGTCCCTCCTTGCAACATGTCCAAAGTATGCCATATGAAGCCTCAGAATGCTGGCCTCCAAGAAGCAGCCTGGTTTAACCCTCTCTAGGATGAACCTGTTTGTTTTCTTAGCAGTCCATGGTATATTCAATACTCTTCTCCAGCACCACAGCTCAAAGGCATCCATTCTCCTTCTATCCTCCCTAGTCACTCTCTAGCCCTCTGATGCATAGCAAGTGATTGCAAAGACCATGGTCTGTACCAGGCGCACCTTAGTCTCCAGAGTGACATCATTGCTCTTCATTACTTTGGAGCAGTCCTTAACAGCAGACTTTCTCCATCACTATACGTCTTTTAATTTCCTGGCTGCTGGTGCCAAGAGTGTTGACTGTGGAGCCAAGCAAACTAAAGCTGTGAACAATCTCAGTCTCTTCACCATCCATCCTGATGCTGCCAGTTGGCCCAGTGGTGAAAATCTTTGTCTTCTTGATATTGAGCTTCAGTCCTTATTGAAGGCTGCAGTCCTTAACCCTCTGCAGCAAGCGCTTCAGGTCCTCCTCAGTTTCAGCAAGCAGGGTTGTATCATCTGCATAAAGCAGATTATTGATGAATCTTCCTCCAATCCTGATGCCACACTTCTCCTCATACAGCCCAGTCTCCCGGATAATCTATTCTGCATATAGATTGCAAAAGTATGGAGAAAGGACACATCCCTGGCATAGACCCTTCCCAATTTTGAACCATGCAGTATTTCCTTGCTCTGTTCTGACGACTGCCTCCAGTCAACCCAGTATATTCTTTTAAAACCAAATAACTCAAATCCACCAGATGCTCCACTGGAGAAGGAGGGGCAATCTCCCCTGATGCCATTTAGATCTGATTCAGTGGTACACAAGACGAAAAGAAAAGAAAAAAACAACAACAAACCCCACCAAATAGCTGTTGTTGAGTTGATTCTGACTCACTGTGGCCTCATAGGACAGGGTAGCAGTGTCCTGCCGGGTTTCCAAGGCTGTGAGCCTTTATGGAGGCAGATTGCCACACCCCCTCCTCTGGAGCCACTGTAGGTTCCTGTGCTTAGTAGTCAAGTGCTTTAAACACTTTGTCACCAGGTCTCCTATTGTTTAAATGGGTATATATTTGTATATTATGTCAGTGTATTTTTTCTTAAATCTTACTGTTGTATAATTAAATGTTTAAATGCCTTTGAGAATGCTTAGGATCTCCTGGCAGCAGGGTACGGATGGAATGGCCAAAACCTCTACTGTGAATAATGGTACTTTCTCCTGTTTTCTTTTCACAGGAGACTGTGCCCAGATATATCCTTCTTTCAGAGGGCTACTGAGTACCCTTGCCTTCTCATCCTGGACCCCCAGAATGAATTTGAGACCCTCCGAAAGCGGGTGGAACAGACAACGTTGAAATCCCAGACAGTAGCTCGGAACCGGAGTGGAGTCACAAATGTGAGAGGCACCTATGGGGCTCTGGGGCTAGCCTGGGACAACCTTTTCTCTCCTGTCCCCTCTCTTGACTCTGACCGCTGGGGCATCTGGTGCACACTCAATCTTACTGAAAAGCTTCTCGGCAGTCATCTGACATGGTCCTCAGCAGTAGCTCTGCCAGTTCCACTCTTGGAGCTCTTTAGCAAATGCTCATTGCATTTCTGCTGGGTGCCAGGCGCTGCCTTATGCTTCATGAGCTGAGCTGTAGGTGAGTTGGTCCTTCTGGACTTGGTGTGGAGATTAGTGAAGGCCTCCCTGAGGAAACAATCTATAAATTGAGGTCTTTGAAATGTAAAGAGGATGGGCATCTGTGGGGAGAAGACCTTACACGGGAACGTTCTCAGCAGGAGTGAGGAGTGTATATTTAAGGAGTGAGGGTGTCTAGTGTGGCTAGAGGTAACCAGAGGAGAGGAAAGGGCTACAAAGGATGCTTGCGAGGTCATCGGTGGTTAGGACTTGTGAAACCTCTGTCCTGAGGGCTGGGTTGCCCCTGATGCATTATGAGCAGAGTGCTGTGACTTAGGTCCCTTTTGCAAAAGATTGTTTTGCAGTGGTGTGTGGATACTGACTTGAGGGGACATGGTGGAGGTTGAGGAGCCTCTTAGGGCCAGGTATGGGGTGGTAGTAGCCTCAACTGGCGAGCAGTGGACACAGACCTGAGAGCCTTTGGAGATAAAATTGACAGGACTTGTTACTGGCAAGTGAATTGGATGGTGAAGGAAACAGAAAAGTCAGAGATGACTCCTCTATTTCTGGGCTGAGTGTATGTTCAGTGACTGATAAAACTTCTGGGCAAGTCATTATTCCTTAAGAAGAAAATATTGTAGAAATGTTTCTCTCCAAGTGGAATGAGTTTGCTGAAGGTTCTGGGCATGTAAGAGAGTAACCATTCTCTACTCTTGGGCCAGCAAGGGTGTCCTTGCAGCTGTTCCTGCGGATGGGGTTCTGTGTGTCTATGGCAGAGTTAGGTATCCAGAATTGCCATGTAGTGCAGGAGCTTGGTTTTATGACCACATAGCTGGCTTTGTGGGCAGCCCTCTTATGTGGCTGCTGACTTCCTGGCTGAAGGTCTGTGGGGGGTTTGCCTCCTGTCATTCATTTCACTTTAGTATTTGTTGTTGTTGTGTTCTGTTGAGTAGGAACTGAATTATAGCTGACTGAGGCAGTTAATTGCACAGGAGATTACCCATCCTTCTCTTGCAGAGAGATTGGTGACCTTGAACTGCTTGCCTTTGGGATTGCAGTGCAACTTCTTGCCACTAGGCCACAAGAGCTCGCTTTAGCATGTGGGGCTCAGGAACTAAGCTGTTACTCATTTTAGCTGTTGGACCTGGTCTTAGTTGCAGATAACCCAACCAGAAGTTTTACACATAGATCCTCTAGGCCTCTGGTTGGGAGATTGAGTTTAAAATTGAGGTCTGTGACTCTGGACAAGTAATGCTAGGTTCATGTTTCTTTTTCCATAACCTGGGCTTCATAATCTCTGCACTGCCTGTCTTTTCATCTGTCAGGAGGGTGAAAGATAGTCATGTCTGTGTGTATTCTTGAGAAATGGAAAAGACTGGACATTCTTGAGGGGTGTTCTGACCTAGAGGCCTGGACTGAGTCTGACTTCAAGTCCAAGTCCTAGCACCTACTGCAAGACATTTGACAAATGACTTAACCTTTCTAATGCTGTTTCCTCCACTTGTAAGTGATATTAAGAGAGTGTTCTAGGTTGTTGAGAGGAGTAAATGGAGAAATATGTGCACCATCCTGCACATAGAAAGATTCCAATGTCTGTTAGCAATCTGGAGCTCTGGTAATGTAGTCTATAGGAAGTTGTGCTGCTGACCCGGAAGGTGCCTCTCTGGTAATTGAATATACCAGTGGCTCCTCAGGAGAATAGTGGGCAATCTCCTCCTATGTGATTTACAGCCTCCTGAAAACCCTCTAGTGAGTCAGCTATGAGTTGGTTCCAATGGGACAGCACTGACTTTTTTTGAGATATGCAAATGATACGTATGTATGTGCATTTGTGTACATGCATGTCCATGTCTGTGTGTGTATGTATAATTGGATAGGGAGTTTAATGTTCCCAGGGCCCTGCCTCCACTCTTTAGGCTTTTTACCAATTCTGACTCTGGTATGATAGGCTTCTCTGCTTGGTTTGATAATGTATTGTAATGGCAACTGAGAATTCCCATATTAAACTTAGAGTGAAGTGATCTTTTAAGCAAACCATAGGATACAACTCAGGATTGGGAAGCCTGTAGACAGAGTCTCCATCTTCACTGCAGAACTTTGTCCTGGCCCCTTTTGACCGTGCAAGTAAGTAGACTCTCCTCAAGGCCCTGTATGCCTCCTCCAGGCTGTGGTGTTTTTGTGTTACTGTGTACTGTTGAGTTGGGACCAATCCATAGTTGACCCTCCAATGGGTTTTCCAAGGCAGTCGCCCAGGAGAAGATTGTCAGCTTTTTCCCAAGGAGCAGTTGGTGGATCAAACTCATTCCTTCGGATGCAATGCAGCTTCTTACCACTAGGCCACCAGAGCTCCCTCTAAGCTGTGTAGGCCTCCTCTAATCCATGTAAGGACAAATATTTTGGCTTCCTTAGGACATAGTCCTAGGGAGCTCTGGTAGCCTAGTGGCAAGAAGCTGCACTGTAATCCCAGAGGTACGTGGTTCGAATCCATCAGATGCTGTGCTGAAGAAGGAGGGGAAATCTCCTGTACCAGTCAGATCTGATTTGACGGTACACACACACACACACACAAAATAATAATAAGAAGAAGACATAGTCCTACTGTTCCTGTTGTCTATCACCACCAACTCTGCCAAAGAGCCTCTTCAAGGTCTATTTCTGTTACTGGGCCCCTTTTAATCCTGTTACTTATTATTAATTGCCCTTCTTTTACAAGTTTCCTTGCCTCTTCTCTCTTGACTTTTTCTCTCTTCTTTCTTCCGTCTGTTTCTGTCTGAAAAACCTCTGTGGGGTTGGCTGTAAAAAATATATATATTTTTTCTTGTCAATCTAAAGACACCACCTCAGAGAGGATAAGACACAAACTGAGCAATCCACGTTGAAAGTCACAGATACTTTTCATTCACTTAGTAGGCTGTAGCAACCTCATTTGCATAGTTCATAGTCACTTTATTTGCATGGGTAGATTAACTAATCCCTGTGAGGTGCATACCAGTTACAAAGAGTCAGCAGCTCAAGGTTAGACAAAAATGTGTGAGACCAAGTTATTTAAAGCTTTTTCTTCAAATCCACCAGATGCTCTGCTGGAGAAGGAGGGACAATCTCCTCCTGTACTAGTCAGATCTGATTTGATGGTACACATGCAAAAGAAATAATAAAATAAAATAAATTTTTTTAAAAAAAGCTTTTTCATGAAATGTAACAAACAGTTGGGGGGAGGGTAGAAAACTAAGTAAAATAATATCCACTGTTGTTGTTGTTGTTGTTGTTGTTAGGCGAAAGAAAGAACAAAAGTCTTCAACTCTTGCGTGACTTTTATCCTTTCTCCAGGTTCATAGGGTTTCTGGAGGCAAGCTATTAATCAGGGAGCTCCACCAAACACTGTCTGCCTTGAGTAACCATTAACACAGTTGACACAACAGTGTCACAGTGTTCGGCTTCACAGCAACCACGAGTTACCTCTGTATGGCAAGTGGACACACAGGGTTATATGACCTAGAAGAATGTTTGACCAAAAACAATTAAAAACAGGCCTGAGGGCCACGGATTAGAGTCACCCACCTTTGGCTTGGTAGCATCACTTTCTGTCCACTAGGCCAGCTGATCTCTAGGCTTATCAGAAAAATCTTAGCCAAGGGATAGTCACTGGGAAAGGGCATGGAAGAACTTTTAGATTATGGGATGATCTGTATCTTGGTCTGGCTAGTGATTGGATAGGGGCATGTGTAAGAAAAAAAATTAATTTCACTGTATAGGTAAGAGTTTTCATTTTGCTATACACAAATTATATCTCAGTTGTGAGAGGGGTGAGAAACTTAATGTCAAAAACTCTGAAGTGAGTATTGTAGGACAAAATAGTAGACACCTGCCCCAGATCGAGATACTAAGGGAACCTGACACTCCAATTCAACACATAAATTTTGGTTGTATCCTGGTAAAACAATGAAAGATATTCCTGAGACATTCAAGGAAATTGAACACAGATTGGGTATCAGACAATATTACGGAATTTTTGTTAATCTTAAATGTGATAATGATAGGTTGGAGGATGTCCTTATTCTCAGGTGATGGCCATGAAGTGCATGGGGGTGAAAGATCAGGATGTCTATAACTTAATCTGTCTGTGGGCTTAAAATAAAAACAAAGTAATATGCAAAATATTCAATCTAGATTGAAAGTGTACAGATATGTATTCTGCTGCTATTTCAGCTTCTCAGAGTGTTTGAGATTTTTCTTTTTTTTTTTTTTGAGATTTTTCATAAGAAAAAGCTGAGAGATAAATAAAAAGGTGGTGATCCCTGTTACCCACCTTTGCAGTAGAGCAGAGGTTCCCAGTATGAACTGTCTGACAGAGTCCTTCAAGGGTCAGTTAAAGATTTAGGTGTCTGGCCTCCGCCCTAGACCTACTGGTAATGCCTTGCACCTTTCTAATAGTGTCTCTTCTTCTTCCTTAGATGAGCTCCCCGCACAAGACCACTGTGCCGTCATCCCTGAATGAATATGAGGTGCTGCCCAACGGCTGTGAGGCCCACTGGGAGGTGGTGGAGCGAATCTTGTTCATCTATGCCAAGCTCAACCCTGGAATCGCCTATGTGCAGGGCATGAACGAGATTGTCGGACCCCTGTATTATACCTTTGCCACAGACCCCAACAGCGAGTGGAAAGGTATAAGAGTTCTCGGCTGCCAGCACTCCTTTTCCTGGCTCCCCAGAAAAGTGGGCTGTATGAGGCTGTGCAGCTCCCTTTTATCTGGGCTTTCATTTTCCTTTCTCAGAGAAGTGAGATCATCTGAATCCTGACTGGCTCTAGCTGTTTAGATTATTGACTTTCTAGTTTACCAATCTCTTGATCTCTGTACATGTATGCACGGAAAGCTGAATGGTTTGGAAAATGTCATTAAGAGAGCTTGCAGTTAATGCATTGATAAATGAGTATGCAGAATGGCAGTATAGTGGTTTTAGTCTAGGGAAAGAGAGTGGTCAAGGACAGAGGAAGGAATGAGGCTCAGGAGGGATGGGGATAATCACTTGTCAGACAGAGATGAGGTGGGACAGAGAGCACCACTTCACCTGTGCCCACACTTTGCGTGTCTCCCCCAGAGCATGCTGAAGCAGACACCTTTTTCTGCTTCACTAACCTCATGGCTGAGATCCGGGACAACTTCATCAAAAGCCTGGATGACTCACAGTGTGGCATCACCTACAAGATGGAAAAGGTGTATTCCACACTGAAGGAGAAGGACATGGAGCTCTACTTGAAACTGGTGAGGACCCCAAGGACCACGTGTGCAGGTGCACAGATAGAAGGAGACAGAGACGACAGGCTTCCTGAGCAGAGCCTGGGGATCAACAAGTGACTGCTTCTACTGGGGAACATTGTCTCACATACTGTGGGCAGACGGGGTGACCTTGGCAGCTGACAGTGGAAACTTAGCCAAATGGGAGTGGATGAGATGTTATGAATTACTCAGTGGCTGCTGGGTACCAGACACAGTGTGAGTTGTTTAAGCCCCTTGCTGTTGAATCATAACAATCCTGTGGGACAGAGTAGAACTACCCTGTAGGATTTCCAAGCCTTTGCTTTCTTACAGACAGGCTGCCAGCCATAGCTTTCTGCTGTAGAGTGGCTGGTGGGTTCCAACCACTCACCTTTTGGTTATCAAGTGTGTGCTAACTGCTGACCTTTTGCTTAGCACCATGGTTCCCACAGGGACAGTGATCTTGAGTGTTGTGTGGCTCAGTTAGTTAAGCTTAATAATGGTCCACTTAAATAACAAATAATTTTGTTTAAAATAAGTTTTTTTTTATTGTAGTAGCGTTCATGTTTATTTAAAAAAGCAGCAGTCAAATCATGCTGTTTTATAGCTTATTTTTTCACTTAATAACATTTCCTGTGGTTCATGTCTAAAGTGTTGATGACTGTTTTGAAGGGTTGGTGTATGAATTGGAAAAGAGAAAATATATGAAGAGTGTTATAGGCCAGGCCTGTAATAAGTGCCTGGTTATATATACTCATAAATCTGAGGTTACAAACTGCGCAGTTTTTAAAGACTTGGAGCCATCGTTTATATATCTAAAGTGTTTATGAAGTCTGTTCTTCTGGCTTCTCTTGAAAAATAGGAGACCTGCTTACATTTGCTGGCAGCAAGCAGCAGGTATCCCTTTACCCAGTCTAAGTTCAGTGCTCACCCCCAACAATGATCCTGTGTTCACTGTGTCCAGTCATCTGCATTCATTTCTGGTAGACTGCATGGTATTCCATGATAACCACCATCATGCATATTGTGACCCACTTGCACTTCTCTCCTCCCAGCAAGAGCAGCACATCAAGCCCCAGTTCTTTGCCTTCCGCTGGCTGACACTGCTCCTCTCCCAGGAATTCTTGTTGCCTGATGTCATCCGTATCTGGGACTCCCTCTTTGCTGATGACAACCGCTTTGACTTCCTGCTCCTTGTCTGTTGCTCCATGCTCATGTAAGTTTGGCTATGGCCCATGTCTGCTCATTTGGCCATCTTTGGGATAAGTTTATCTTCGGATAAATTGGAGGGGAGAATCTTCAGTTCTCTGAGGGATGGTCAGGAGGCTGCTTTTCATGTGTATGGAGGGAAGCCAATGGAGTTCTTGGGAGAACTTGAGGTCTGACTTGCTGTGGGTGGTGAAGGAGGAGCGGAAAGCATCCTGGGTTGGCCTCTTCACAGTGCACACCACGGTTCCAGCATCTTTGCTGCTTGTTTTTCTTAGACTGATCCGGGAGCAGTTGCTGGAAGGAGACTTTACTGTAAACATGCGGCTCCTGCAGGTAATGGAGATTTGAAGGGACCGGTTGTTTCTTTACTGTGTAGCACGTACTTAACAAGAATCCAGTCAATATCAGTTGTTGTGATGAGCTGGGATCTGGAACTGGAGAATGTTACAGATCTGGGTTTGAGTCCCACGTCTATCAGTGACCTTGAGTGTTGTGGGGCTTTGAGTGAATGACTTGGCCTTTCGGGTACTGATTTTGTTCTGTGCTAGTTATGTGACCAGAGACAAGTACAACCTCTTTAGGTCTGTTTCTTCATCAGGACTTGACCTGATCTTGGGTTCATTTTTCTTAACTTGTGAATTGCTCTGAAAAATGGTCATAATCACAGCAGCTTCTTCTTAGGACTGTTGATAATTCATTGGACAGGTGCATGCACAGTGTCCAGCAGGGTGCGAGGGTTGCTGAGTGGGACCCAGGCTTTGAGGACAGAGTAAGGAGAGGTGGGGCAGGATGGCAGCTGGCCTTAAGGAAGAAGACATTGTGAGATTCCGGGCCTTCCCAGAGGAACTGGGTAAGTTAGTGCTTCAGAGGTGCTGCATTAGCTTATACATATAACTTTGGTCAGGATACAGTTATCTATGGTCCTTTCCCCTGATGCCCAGGGTCCAGCACAATGATAGGTCCCAATGGGAAGGGCTTAGGTGTGGCCAGAATGGCAGAGGGTGAGCTGACTTTAGATGCATATTGTTGGCCTTTTCCACGTCCAGGATTATCCCATCACAGATGTTTGCCAGATCCTACAAAAAGCGAAGGAACTTCAGGACTCAAAGTAACATGGTGACAAGAGGTCCAGGTTTGGGAGAGAAGCCAGCGATCCCTGGCTTTTGGAATGCACAGAAGCCTGTAAGATCCCAGCCGGAAGGGAAACTGCAGAATTGGCCACACTCCGGGCCTTCTATCTTGGCCCTCTTGTCCCAGGCAGCTCCTGCTGGGGACTCAACTCTGCAAGGCTCTGTTCATAACACAGCCCTGGCTTCCCAATGTCCTCAGCCCTGGAGCCCTCTGCCTAGGTTGCTGAGCCAGGTCTGAGCTCATAGCGTTCTGTTTCCTTGGGCTGGGGCATGTTGAAGATGCTGGAGGACTGTCAAGTGTTCTTCCTGCCTCTGCTCTGCTGCCCCTTCCTCCTTTCCTGCTTTTAGTTTTCTGGACTTTGGTAAGGGGCAGACACCGAGCAAATGGGCCAGAAAACACTTCCTCTGGAGGTTGGTGCTGAGGCTTCTCCATGGGGAAAGTGACACTGTGCAGGAGCCAGGAGGCTGCCAGGCTAAGGTCACACCCATCTCTCACTGTGTGTAAGTCCCATGTGTCTGTGTCTCTGAGCCTACAGCTGTCTGCTTCTCTGTCTGTGTTTCTTTGTGTCAGTGTGGGTGTGAGGTGGATGTGAGGGTGGCTTTGAATCCCTCTGGGTCTCAGCTTCTGTCTGTCTCTCTCTACCTCTGGCTCCTTCTCTTTTTCCTTCACCTCTTCACAGACCATGGATTTGGTATTTCCCTCTGGATGCTCCTTTCTCCATTGTTCCCCCTCTTCCCTTTTCTCCTGGGGTGCCTTATCCCTAGCCCTTTTCTCTTCTGTCCTTACTTCTCTCCCATGAACTAAGGAGGCAGCATCAGGATTCTGAGCAGAGCCCTAGACATGAACCTTGGCCTTTGCAATGTGTCCACCTCCAGCAATAGGCTCCCAGGTTCCCCAGAATGGGAGGGGGAGCCCACAGTGCCTCATTAGAGGCCACCCACCTGCCTCCCAGGACAAAAACTGGAAAACCAAAAGCTGCTAAAAGATAACAGAGAGCTGTGTATCTTTGCAGAAATTCTCCCTAAGGCCCTTCCCTTTCCAGTGTTGTCCGTACTCCAAGAGAAAAGGATTTTAGGAGGATTCTGGGATGCAAATGCTTCCACAAAGTCAGCATTCACATGGGCCTCTAGGTCCCAGTCCACCCTTTATGGCTGTGTCCCCAGAGGGTAAGTGGGACCACAGGGAGCCTCCCTGGGACCAGGCATAAATGTGTGTGCCTTGAATGCTGTCAGCGCCTTTGTGGACTCCTTCACCCCACGCATATTGAAGGAGCAGGTGCTGCTGGTCCTGCGCTGGTCACCAGCTTCAGCTATTCTCAGATCTTAGAGCAGGATTTCAAGTATAGACAGCTAACTACCACTTTTGAGATGTGACAGTGGAAAGATTGCTTGGGCAAGTCCCCACTCCCCCCCTTTCTTTCTCCAGGGAACCAGGTAGTGGGTGTGGAGACTTGTCCTCACCCTTTCCCCAGCGTGCTCTTGCCCCATAGCCTCCTGACTTGAGCAACCATGACTCCTTTTTGGCTTCCCAAAGCCAACTATGGGCAAGAACAGATCTCCACACCACCCCGATCTCCACTTCTCTTATGTACCCCCTATACCCTAGGCACCTTTACCACCCTGTACCTTAGATTTTCCTGGGAATTTGATGCACTTGCCTTTTTGCCTCCTCTTTGCCCAACATACAGTATTCGGAAGATTTATTATTTATTAAGACTCCTAGTTATTTATTGCCATTTGGCAAGTGCTTGGTTAAGAGGGGGGACATACGGGTAGAAAGGAGTTTGAGATAATGTTCTTTCTGGTGTCCCCAGATCAGCGGACCAGCACACTCCTGCCTTGGGCCTCTGATTTTCTGGCAAGTTCTAGCTGAGAGAGCTTTGGGCTCTATTGGAGCTGAGCAGAAGGGAGCTGGTCAGGCTCTGATCCCCTTTCTCAACGGGGTACACACTGATTCTTACCACCTTGGCCCATTCTCTGCCCAGCCACCCTCTTCCCCCCCCCCCCCCGACCTGTTCATGACCTGAGACCCAAGATTCAGCAAATACTTCCAGGACATTGATGCGTCCCCACTTACCTGCCTCTCTGCCCTTCTACTTAGGGCTGTGTTGTTAGATCCCTGCATTTAATTTGCCTCAGTGGCAGCATATATGGCTCCATTACCCTAGCCTTGATCTGGAAGGTGAAGGTCAACATCAAAGGGACCATGAACTGGTTAAACTGACCTCCACAATGGGATACTACTCAAAGAAGGATCTGCACCTTGGTGATTCTCCCTTCTCAGACTCAAGAAGCTCCCCAGAGAGCAAGCAGACCCAAGGCTTTCTGCTTGAGAAGCTATACCCAGGACTTTGGACACTTACAGATGGAGCTGTTTGAATTCAGCAGGCCTCACTCCAGAGGATCAGAATATTATCGCTGCTTGGCCTTTTGGCTAAGACCAAGTGCAGAATATTAGTCTGTTTTGCTTTTCTGTATGTTTTGTTCTTCAATCAATGCTATTGATAAATTGTCTTTAAATAAATCATGTGTTCTTTGCAGTGGGTGTTAGTGGTGTGATGGGTTGAAATGCAAGAGGACTCTGGGAGCAGGGGAGATGTGAGGAGCTTTCCCAGAACAGTGGGAAAAGGCCACAAAGTTTTAAGAGAACTTGTGCAAACCTCACTGAACCACAGGAAAAAGTTACAGCTTGAAGAAGAGTGAGGTAGGGGAGGATGTGTAACTTACACAGCAACTTATTTTTAGATTTAAAATGCTTAAATTTTAAAGATAAGTAAATGAAACACTCAGAGTCACTGCTGTCAATTTAAGGTGACCCTCTATCAGGTTTCCAGAACTGAATGGGGGAAAACTGCTGCCTTCTCTTGCTGAGGGGCTTGGTTGGTTTGAACTGTCAACCATTCAGCAGCGCAACATAACTTACCACACCCATAATCACACAGTCAATGCTAAGATTAGTCTTTTTTTTTCTTCGTGATTTGTATTTTACTGGTTGTTTTACGGGCCAGTATAGAGGCGTTATGAACAACCTGCACACAATTTTTGATGTTGTTATGTGCTGTTGAGTCGTGACTCATAGCGACACTGTACAACAGCCCTAAACTCTGCTTTGTCCTGTGCCAATCGCACTGTCTCCGATACACCCATCCCAATTGCCCCAGTCACTGAATCAATCCACCTCATAGAGGGTCTTCCTCCCCTGCACTTTCCTTCCACCCTACCAAGCATGATGTCCCTCTCCAAGGACCTGTCCCTGCTTACAAAATGTCCAAAGTATGTTAGATGGAGCCTCAGAATCCTTGCCTCCAAGGAGCTGCCCAGTTTAACCCTCTCCAGGATGAATCTGTTTTCCTAGCAGTCTATGGTACCCTCAACACTCTTCTCCAGCACCACAGCTCAAAGGCATCAATTCTCCTATCCTCCTATGTACGTACCAAAAATCTAAAAAGCTATGTAGTTACAATTCTTTTCTAAATTTCAGTGACCTTCCAGCTTTAAATTTGGATTCATAAGGAAGAAAACAAGTACCAATATCTTCAATTGTTGATATCCTGTCACATCATTAAGGCCCACTAGTTCAAAATTTATTGTCACACACACTATGCATTCAAATTTTCAACCATTCAGAGCACATAACAAAATTATTAGGAAAACTGGACTACCAAGACCAAAGATGTTACAGAATCCACGTAGTTCTGACAGCCATAAGGAGGGAGTGGTTTAAGAACTTTTACTGAACAATTTTCTAATTCATGTATCTAAAAAACATGGAAAGTAGACAATTTAAAATGTTCAAGTCATAAATGCATGACTATGATTACAAATTGTCATTAAGTATGCTATCTATTATAGTATATAAAAACTGTCCCCTTTACCCACAGAATATTACATTGACATCGAAAGCTCCCCACAAGTTTAACATCTCACATTTTCTGGTTGTGCCAAAAAACAAATAACAAGCAAATAATCTCATTTCTTACAGAATTTACACTTAAAAATGGGATGAAGTGGGATTTCCTTCTTCCTAAAAACTTGGATTTACAAAATAATAAAAATATTCCTCTGGATTGTATGAGAAGGGAGATACAGGGACCACTGGTAAGACATGGTAGACAAATTTTTTTAAATTTTGTTTTCTTTATTTTCTTAAGCTAGTCTAATTTAAATCTTCAGATTACAAATGAGAAAAAGAAATGGTGATGCAATCTGTCTTATTATGGTAGACAAATATTAATCAGACTTAGCTTCTTTCTTTCCTGCTCCATCAGAGGTTTTAATTTCTCTGTTGACTGCAGCTAAATCTTTCGTTTCGTTAGCTACTTCAGCCTGTTCTCCCTTTGCTCCCCTTTTCTCTTTGTTTGCTCTTTTTTGTCAGAAGAGTTCTCCTTTCCTGCTGCCTTTCTGGGCTTCATTTCCACTTTTGCAGGCGGCTTAGGCTGCCATCCTCACTGATCTCTTGGGGCTCCTCTTTCACCTCTCCCTCTTGGGCATCATGGCAGCAAGGAGGGCTCCTGTGAGTGCCTGTGGGCCTCGGTGTGAGCTGCTAGACAGAATTAATCTTTTTACAAAAAGAATTTTTAAAATTTTATTATTTTTTGTGTGTGTGTCATCAAATTGAACCTGACTGGTACAAGAAGAGATTGTCCCTCTTTCTCCAGCAGAGCATCTGGTGGATTCGAACCATGTACTTTTGGAATTTCAGTGCAGCTTCTTGCCACTAGGCTACCAGAGCTCCCTCAAGATTAATCTTTAAAAAAAATTTTTTAAAAAATTGTGATTTTAACAAAAGTTTACAGAAAAGTTGGATTTTCATTCATTGTTCATTTTCCTCCCTTCCCCAACATTAATCTTTTTAAACAGTGAGGTTTTTATTGTGGAAGAAAAAATTTTATAGTATTAGAGCAAATTGTGTGAAAAAAATACATCTGAATTCTACGCTATCTGTTGTGTGCCTTTGATTAAGAACTGACTCATACCTAACCCTCCAACGGGCTTTCAAAGGCAGTAAATCGCTAGGGAGGAGATTGTTCATCCTCTCTTGAGCAACTGGCACAGTTCCTTACTGGTAACCAACACTCCCTTATACTATCTAGTATTTTAAAAATGCTCTTAGTTTCTAGAAGTCCTTGCATTCCTGATTATTTTCCAGTTCAATTCTATTAAAAATAATTTTAAGGCTTTTGATACATACTGCTGAGTTGCTTTGTGTAATGTACATTTCTACCAACAGCATCAAATGTTTGCACATTTGGGTCCAGATTAATGGATGTTTTTAAGTCTTTGCCAATTTGGTGGGATTTCTGGCTTATTTTGTGGTGTAATTGGTAGGATAGGCTCTGTAATTGGGCCAACTAGGAAACCCTTCCCAGAACTCTTGGGGATTAAATAAAGTTTAGACCATGGTTTCATTCTGCTGTACACAGTTGTCTCCAGAAGTCAACATTACAGACCTAGTAGTTCTTTTTTTTAAAAAAATTTTATTTTTGTGTGCGTGTACCGTCAAATCAGATCTGACTGGTACAGGAGGGGATTGTTCCCCCTTCCCCGGCAAAGCATCTCGTGGATTCGAACCGTTTGGCTCTGGGATTGTAGTTGCAGCTCCTTGCCACTAGGCCACCAGAGCTCCCCCCCTCCCCCCCCAGTAGTTCTTTTTGACAGCTTTCTAGGCACATCCGAGGCGGAGTCCCTCGTGGAAGGGCTGGCGTCTGGGTAGAGCTGAACCTGACGGCGGCCAATCAAGAGCTGAAGCGGCGGTCTTACGCCCCTCCTTCCCACGTCTTAAAAGGGCAAAGTAAGGGTTCCGGGACACCCACGGAGCGCCAGTCTCCTTGCCATCAGTGTGAGTAATAACACTTCGTACAGTCAGGGACTGGCGCGTCCTAAGACAGCTTCACCTTCCCCCGCCCCGCTTGTGCCTCTTCTTATAGTAGACCACCACCACCCCCCCCCCCCCCGCACGCGTGCGTGGCCACTTTAAGAGCCTTGCGGATCGGCCACCGGAGGGCGTCGCGTTCCACCCACCACGCAGGCAGTGTTCTGGGGACTCTTGAGGTCCTGGTCCTCCACGATGCAGGCACTGCGGACCGGCCTGGCCGTGGGGCTCGGCGCTGTGCTGGGCGCGGCCGCAGAGGGCTGGCGGCGGCGGCGGGAGGCCACAGAGGCGGCGCCGGGCCTTCTGGGCCGGCTGCCAGTGCTGCCGGTGGCGGCGGCGGCCGAGCTTCCCGCCGTGCCTGCAGGCCCCGGCGAGCTGGCCAAGTATGGGCTGCCAGGGATCGCCCAGCTCAAGAGCCGCGAGTCGTACGTGCTTTGCTACGACCCGCGCACCCGCAGCGCGCTCTGGGTGATCGAGCAGCTGCGGCCCGAGCGGCTCCGCGGCGACGGCGACCGCCGCTCGTGCGACTTTCGCGAGGACGACTCGGTGCACGCGTACCATCGCGCCACCAACGCCGACTATCGTGGCAGTGGCTTCGACCGCGGCCACCTCGCTGCCGCCGCCAACCACCGCTGGAGCCAAAAGGCTATGGACGACACCTTCTACCTGAGCAACGTCGCCCCCCAGGTAGCTGTGGGTTTGCGCTTCCCTTGATGCGGGATATAGGTCACGCTGCACGCCTTAAGCTAATGTACAGGGCAAACTTGAACTTACCGCAAACCCTAGATATTTGAGCTTCCGTTTTCTCATCTGTAAAATCAGAACTATTCCCCTCCCCCCTCCTGTGGGAGGCGTGAGAAACCAGGCATGATGCATGTGCAAGTTCTGAGCACACTTCCGGCCTAGACAAGCCTACAGTAATGCTAAAAATGACGCAGAGGTTCAGCCATTGTCTTACCCAGACTGTCGCCCACAGCTGAGCTGTTAGTACCATTCACGATGAACCCTTGACAAGCTTACCCTATAACTGGCACCAAGCCCGGGTTGGCACCCTGTACACAGCTGTAAATTGCAGGGGATGATGAGCCATTGTTCAGATTTATTTTCCTAGCGACACAGCCTTTCCTCATTGAAGAAATATTGCACCTAGGCTTGTCGAGCTAAAGTTAAGTTATATATATAGTTGGTAGTAGGGCCTGTAGCCAGAGCCTCTGAATCTAATTCCAATTAGGGTTGAGAGATAATCAGAGCTGGCCTTCCCAGGAGCCACCGAGAGAAAGGAAATGCGTCTTCTTTAGCTCTTTAGAGAATCGACTTTGAGACCTGTGAGGACTGGTTCTCCCAACCTAGATGGAGTGAGTGTGTGTGCCTAACACCCTATTAGCCCTGTCCTTAGGATCATGGAGTAATTTATCTTGAAGTTTTTTACTTTGTTCCTCTTGCTTGCCCCTAGCTGGACATCCTGGCTTGTTGCCAGTGCCCTTAGAGGCTGGTGTAGCCCTTAACAGTGCAGGGGTGTCTACACTGTTTCCCACTGAGCTCCACTTCCCTTCCCAGGTGCCCCACCTCAACCAGAATGCCTGGAACAACCTGGAGAAATACAGCCGCAGCTTGACCCGAACCTACCAAAACGTCTATGTCTGCACAGGGCCTCTCTTCTTGCCCAGGTGAGGCTGGAACTAGGGCTCTGGACCCCACAAGGTCTTACATTCACCTGCACGTCCCCTCCTTCCATGCTTCCCAGATGGGCTGCACTCTGTACTGGTGATTTCTCTGGTCCCGAGGACAGGGATGAGTGAGGCAACAGGTTAGGGTTGTTGGCTCTGCAGACCCCAGCCATGGGCAAGTGACCTGTGAGACTCATTGAGGGGACTGAGTGGGATGGTGAATGTCATTTACTTAGTGTCTTTTATGATTTACTGAGACAGCATGAACCATTGAGAAGCCCAGATATGTCATTCATCCAACATTTGGGTACATGCCTTGCCTGCTTGGTGTTCACCCTCTATAGGGAGAGAAGACAGTTCTTAATATGCCACAGAAGTTCTGAAAGCCTGATTCTTTAGCAGTCTTTATTGTCTCCTACTTTGCATGACCCAGGGTTTGGCATGAAAGAACAGAGAGGGGCAGCCAGGTAGGGCACAGAAGCCTTGAACTGACACACAGTGGAGGAGGTGGGGTGGGTTGGGTCTGACCAGGCCCCAGCCTCCCTGGGAACCCTGAAAGGACAGGTGTACCCATCTGCCCGCAGGACGGAGGCTGACGGGAAGTCCTACGTCAAGTACCAGGTAATTGGCAAGAACCACGTGGCAGTGCCCACACACTTCTTCAAGGTGCTCATCTTGGAGGCAGCAGGTGGACAAATTGAACTTCGCTCCTATGTGATGCCCAACGCTCCTGTAGACGAGGCAATCCCGCTGGAACGCTTCCTGGTGCCCATTGAGAGCATTGAGCGCGCCTCAGGGCTGCTCTTTGTGCCCAACATCTTGGCACGAGCAGGCAACGTCAAGGCCATCACTGCTGGCAGCAAGTAGGGCAGTGGCCCCATTAGACTCTGTTTATGAAACTCAGTGGTATTAAAGATGATTATTTTTGGAGACAAGTCTTTGATGCATCTGTCCCAGGTGACTCCCATTGGCTGCTTCTTCACCAAGGCTGCTTTGATGTCTTGCTAGAACCTTCAGCCAGGCCGGGCACCTGCCTGGGTCAGGCTGGGCTGTAGGGCAGCCAAGGAGATGAGGATGGCTTCCTAGAAGAGAGTGGAATAATACGCTGGGACCTGGAAGGCTGACCAGGTCCTCCAGCGCCTGGCCTTCAGTGCCTGACTGCCCAGGACATAGGTCCATGGGGTGTGCTGTCCTCAGTGGGGCTAGGCAGGATGGGAAGGGATTGGAAGTTCTGCCACTTGGTCAGCTGCATACCTTGCCAAGGAAGGGTATCACCACCTGTTCCTTAGCATTCTCTAAAAAATGGGAGTGACAGTGATACACTCACCTCTCAATGTCTCCTGCCTTGTCTGAAATGACAGGAAGAGCTCAGCCCTCAGTGCAAGTGCTGTGAGAGTGAGTTTGGGAGTTTGTTAGGTGTGTCTGGCAGACTCTTGGCACGTCATTTGGGTAAGTCCCTCTGGGACAGGTAGGTTGGGGCTACCTTTTGGCGAATGACAGAAGCACTGCTAATCACATGGCCACAGGCACAGCATTCTATGAGAGCACAGGTTCCAAGAATGCCAAAGAATAAGGCTCTCACATAGAAGTGTGTTTCATTCCTCTGTCCCAGAGGCATGGAAGTAAGGAATGAGACCTGCCTGTCCCATGGTCATAGATGAAATGTGGCAAAGCTAGGATCTGTGAGGACCATGGAGCACTGAGCTAAGGAAACTGACGCTCAGTGCAGGGATGGGTCCCTATCCAGGGAGCAGAGGGGTGGCACTAAGACCTTGCATTCTTGACTCCCAGTTGTCCTAGCACTCTGTCCCTATTCAAAATCTACCATGGTGGAAGACAGACCATTCCAAGGGAGACTGGCTCAGTGCAGCTTTGGGAGGGAAGAGCAGAGAGGAGGTGGTTTCAACCCCAAACCCACAGACAGATTTCAAGGCATGCCACTGGCTGGGGCACTGGCCCCGCTGTAGGTGGGGAAGGCAGGCAGGCTTACCTCGGTGCGGATGGTACGGCTACCCTGGTTGGGGCAGGTGTTGACATACAGGTCAAAGAGGACACTGGGTTCAGCCACTTCCAGGTTGGGGTCAGCATCCACTCCAGATTCTAGTCCCTGGAGGCCCCCAAACACCACAAGGGCATGTCTGGAAGCCAGGGTGGGGTCAGAGAAGGAGGGTGTCATTGACTTTCATTTAAGGCTCCTCTGAGAACAGCCACCAGAGCTCTCGAACCAGAGCTCTCACCACCAGAGCTCTCGGCAAGGGCCTGGTTTGTACAACTTTGCCCCATTGGTAGGTTCTCAGTTCCAGGCCTCCCCCTCCTTCCCTGAAGCTGTGCCCACCTGAAGTTGGGGAGCTGGGCGGAAGCCACATCTGAGCCTCGCTCTGACGTGCCAATGGTCAGGTCATACCCATCCTTGAAGGGTGCCTCAGCAAACACAGCACCTGGGGGGAAGGGCAGCTCAGCAGGTGTCCTGCTCCCTACACTAGAATAGCGGAGCATGGAGAAAGGGACTCAAGTAAGGGAGCCACTCCCATGCCCTCTACTGTTCCTGAAAGCCAGGGTCATCTCTGCACAGGGACTGGATAGGGTAGAGCCCAAGCCTGTGCAAGGCTGGGAAAAGAAAGTAGGGGATGAGGGTGGGAAGGGGTTCCCAAAAGCCAATAATAGAGCATTCTGTCCTCATTCCAAACTTGACAGCATTGTCATTATTGTCAATCAGTCCACTTTCCTCAGAAATCCTTAAAAGTGTTTCAGGCAGGGCCTAAAGCCATCCTTTGCCCCCACAGATGTGACCAGACTAAGGATAAACTGGTAAACTGAGGATCTAGTTTGACGCTGGGCTCAAGCAAGGCTTTTTGCTGTCCCCCAAGAGGCATGGATGGATGTCACAGGGAAAAATGGGGTCCTTACTGAGGCAGGAGGCCAGTCGGACAGTGTAGCCCCAGTAGAGACCAGCTTTAATACGAGGGTCCTGAGATGACACCACTCTCCCACGGTAGGTCTTGCTTTCTAGAAGAGAAGCAGAGTATCTGTGAGAACTGGATGAGCAGGCAGTGGGGCAGGAGGAAGAGCCCTCCAGCCAGCCAGGCCACCGAAGGGGCAGAGAAGCTTCCAGATACCTGGGAGTTGCTGCTTGTTCAAGCGCACGGTTACTCGAAGTCCAGGCTCCAAGTTCTTGTCAATCTTCACCTCCTAGGAGAGAAATCAGCAGAAATGGGTGCCATTCCTCACAGGACTAGCATGGGTCCCTGCTCTCCCAGAAGCTAGGGGATCAATCAACAAGTTTTGCTCTTTTATCTTGGAAGATTTTATATCTTTTTGGGACTATGTAATATAGGATCTCTAATAAAAGATAATCTTATCATGTGCATGGTCAAAAAAAAAGGATCAAGGGGCTGGCATGGCAGAGACTCTCTAGCTCCTGACCCACTTCTGCCTAGAAGAAACTCAACTGAAGACACAGGTCAAAATTGAACCCTCCCAGCACAGCCTGGCATGGCAGGAAGTGTAAGCTAGTGTTCACTGCACAGCTCCAGGCATGCTTAATACATGCAGCTGTTGTGAAGAATAATTGTGTTTTGTGCTAGTTTTCATCTGTCACTTTTTAAGGCACTTTCTTCACCTTTTGAGATTTTCTTTTCCCCCACTGTTGCTTTGTCATTCTGTTCTACTTTGAGCTGGTTATTCCATGGCTATTTATAGGAGAGGATTCTACACATTTATATGTTTATGCCTGTGATACAAGAAGGTTTGAGAATAAATCTGGGGAAAGATACTAAGTAATCTAAGAGTATTTCAAAAACAAAATTATTTTTGGTTGTTTTTCAGTATAAAGACTGTCTTTTGTTGTTTTGCTTTTTAAAACGGTATTATATTTCTGAGTTTTATCTTAGTGCGCCCTATTTTCAGCATGTTCATGGCCTACGTGTTAATGGGGGCTTCACAGGCAGTGATGCCTGTGTTAGAGGTCCTCCCACTCCACGGCCAGGTGTGACCAGGAGCACAGCCTGAGCAGATGGCAGGCCCCTCTTCTCACTCCTACCTTCTTCATGCCACAGTTGACAAAGGAGCCATGACCCAGCCGGGTGGGCCGATCCAGCACGATGCCCTCCCGGAACTCTGATTCTTCATCCTGTCGCATGTGGTGAGGGCTGTCCAGGGGGTTCAGCAACCCTGTGGATGGGGAGGGTTCACAAGGAGTCTGGGAGATGCTAAAGTACACTGTGGTGTGGCAGTGGACCTAAGTTAAAATTCTAACACTATCAAAAATCTGCTGTTTGACACTGAGCACAGGTACTCAATCACCCCAGGCCTGTTTCTCCCAACTGTACAGTGGGTGGGGAGGTAGGGAGGACATTCCAGTGCCTGGGGATAGTACTTGGAAAGTGGTGTAAGGCCCACCTAGTCTTACCTGCAAACTGGAGATCCTGGTGTTTAGGGAAGAACGCCTTTCTCAGGTACCTAGTAAAGAATGCCAATCTCAGGAGGTTCCCCGGGGGAGGCCACCAAGACCACTTCTCATTCATGCTCGGGGGAAGTCCTCCCTCCATCCTCCTTACTGTGGGCACTCCAGGTACTGCAGGATGCGGGCCAGCTGTATGCACGCCTGCCCCTTCTTGCCAACTCCCATGAATTCCCCCTCCACAGACCTTTGGAGGAAAAGATAGGGCTCTAGATCCTACAATGTCTTCAGCTTCAAGAGCAGAGCCCCCAGCCTGACCCTTTGCAGTCAGTGCCCCTGACTCACAACCACACCCACTGGGAATTACAAGGCATTACAAACAGGAAGGCTGGGGCAGAGGGGCAAGGGGAAGGGGTGCCTCCCTTTTTTCTGAATCTTGGTGCCTTAGGAGTGACCCCTTACTTGGCATCTCCGCCCTCTTCATCGAACACCACAATCTCATCCACGCAGAAGATGGCACAAGCTCGGGCAATCTGGCCAGCCAGGTAGGTTCGCAGCTCAGGTGACTGTGCGTTGTCCAGGATGGAACCAGGCAGGGCCACACTCAGGGTGTAAGGCCGCCCTGGGCAGCAGAGGGATGTTCACGGTCAGTGTGAGAGGCCAAGTGCCTATTCTTTCCTCTGTTCCTCTGCCCCCAGTACACAATTAACAAATTTTCTTACTTAGGAAGAATTTTTAGATGAGCAAAATAGACCCAGTTTCCCTATTGGAGCCTCACATTCCCCAGGATGAACATAGACTCAGTGCTCCCAGGAGCGCTCGGCATAGCAGCCCACTGGGAAAGGTGAGGAGTAGTTAGAAGCACTGGCCTAAGTTCACATCCTGGCTCTGCCCACTACTGCCTCAGTTTTCAGCTTTCAAACAGGAATAAGGAGAGCCAATTACCTTCAAGATTATTAATAAGAAGTAAGGACTAGGCGAGCTCTGTGACCCAGTGGCAAGAAGCTGCACTGCAATCCCAGAAGAGCATGGTTCAAATCCACCAGATGCTCTGCTGAAGAAGGAGGGACCATCTCCTCCTGTACCAGTCAGATCCGATTTGACAGTACACACATAAAAAATAATAATAAAAAAGAAGTAAGGACTAGGGCGCTCTGGTGGCTTAGTGGGTAAGGAGGTCATTGCTAACCTAAAGGCATAGCTCGAATCTACCAGGTGCTCTTCAGAAGATGGGCCGTCTCCTCCCACGGGATTTCCAGCCTCTGAAAGACGACGAATCAGTTCTGCCTAAGTGGCAGGGAGTCTAATTTATTTTAGTAAGAACTGACAAAGAGAAGGCCTGGTGTTGTAACAGATGAGAACTTGGCTGCTAACCGAAAGGCTACCAGATGGCTCAATGGGAGTCTTGGGGACCTGCGTACAAACCTCAATGGGACAGTTCTAGTAAATGGAATCACTGTGAGTTGAAAATTGACTCAACACATCTAACAATCGTACCCACCCACTGCCGTCAATAAGCCTTTGATGCATGCAGCTGACCCAATAACACCAAGAAGTGGGTGCTGTTTCTAATCCTCATTTACAGAAGAGCAACTTGCGGTGCAGAGAGAATGTCACAAAAAAATGTGGGGCCACTGAGAGACTAGCATACTATCTCCTTCCCAGAGGGAGCCAAGTGAAATAGCACTAAGACGTCCCCAGGTCTCACACAGATGATGTACCCAGTGGTGGTCTTCACTGTGCTATCTTCATTGGTAACTACCAGGCCCTATGAGGTCAGATGGGGATCCCTGAGGAGTTTTGAGGGGAAAATAAACCAGTTTGTTAAGGTAGATTCAGATATGCATTTATGCAAGAATATCCAGGATATAGTGTGAGATGAGAAAAATCCGGTTCTCCAAGTTGTTATTCTTGTTATGGACCTTAAAGTTGGAATAGACCCACAGATGACCTTCCAGTGGGTTTTCAGAAAAGACTGACTACCCATCGTGAGCAGCTGTTGTATTCAAACCGTGTGCCTTTGGGTTGGCAGGACAACTCTTTACCACTAGGCCATGAAAAAGTATGGCTAAAATAATCTCATTTTTGTAAAATTATATTTACACATCTTTCCATTTGTGTATAATATACTTTCATCACCAAATTTAGGGGAATTTTAATTTTTAGCTTTCAGTATTATTTTAGGGCTTTTAAGCACATATATTGAGAAAATAAAAAGGGGCATTTTTATTATGAAAATTAAACTAAGTGAGATGAAAACACATAAACTGCTTAATACAAAGAATTGTACAAGAGATACTGATAATAAAGGCAAACAGTGTTACATGACCCTGCATTATCAGTAATAACAAACATTAACCTGTAAGTGGATCCATAAGCAGACAGGCAAGATGACCAGGACAATGGAAGGGACTATATCCATCCAGGACCATAAGTAGGTTTGGCAGACATACTTTTTTCCCCAGTTTTCATTTTATTATTTTTTTGTGCGTACTATCAAATCAGATCTGACTAATAACAGGAGGAGATTGTTCCTCCTTCTCCAGTGGACAATCTGATGGATTCAAACTGTGCACCTCTAAGATTGCAGTGCAGCTTCTTGCCACTAGTCCACCAAAGCTCGCCTGGCAGACATATTTCTACAAGCATATTTATATATGCTGTAAATATACCTATATACATAGTATAACAAACAGGGAAAAGTCATGTAAACTTCTAAATCACAATCTAACATTTTGAGGGATGAGTTGCTGATCCTATGACTCAAGGACCATAGTCCTGGGGGAAAATGAAGGTCAGGTGACATACGTCTACAAAGACTGTGTTCTATTTATTTTGCCAAGTGTGACCAGGGTCTTAAAAGCTTTCAAGTGTTCAGCTAAAGTACGACTATCAGTTCTCATGAACTTTCATTCAAATTAGTCTGAGGGAGTAACAGACCTCAAAACCTCAATCTTTGTGAGTTTTGAAACCAGCAGAACTAGATGATAAATGGCCACCACCGCTGACCACCCTAAAAGGGATCACATTATAAAGTTTCTGAAAGAGTAGAAGAAAACTGGGAATGAAACTTCAAAAGCATAAAAATGGTCTAGTCTGCTGATCTGATACAGATTAGTGGTACTCTTGAGACTATGGCCCTTAAGTTACCCTTCAAGCCTGGAACTATAAACCCTGTGGTTCAATTTTCACCCAAACAATAGGCTGGTGAGGTGAATCAGCACACTCACTTTAGAACGATTATCCACATAAACAAGGCACCATTTGCCCAGGGAAAGACAAATGGAAAGGAGACTCACCAGGAAGGAATGGGAAGAGTTCTTTTAGACACTGAGTATTATAATGTCAAAAACCAAAATATGTATAAATGGTTGACTGGAAACCAACTTGCTTAATAAAGCTTCCCACAAATCATTTTTTTTAAAAAAACGAAACAAAACAAAACTAAGTGCTCAACATTAAGTGTTCAATAATAAAGATTGACTGTCATTTTTATTATAATGTTCTGAAGTTACAAAAATGGTAATGAGACTGATGTGTACCCTTCAAAAGTTTGAAGTCTGCCTAATCTGCTGGGTGACCCTGGGCAAATCCCTCCTCTTCTATGGGCCTAAGTTTTCCATCAGGAGATGACATCCCACTAAATGGACAGGGAAGGCTGCAGGTCCCATCCCAGCTCACCTCCATCCTCCCTCTGCAGAGCTGCCTCCTCTTCCTCCTGGAGCTTTGCCTGTTCTTCTTGTGCTCGCTGCCGCTCAAGTTTTTTCATCAGCTTCAGGTCTTTCCACTTTTTTTTCTCCTCTTTTTCTATAAAAGAGAACATCCTTATTGAGGGAAGACAAGACTAGAAGAGCTGAATGGACAGTTGTCTCTGAATTCAGGGGTCAGTTTAGCTCTGGAATACTGCTGGGGAACAGCCAGGAGGGGTGATGGAAGCTCCCCCGGAGCCGCCTGGGCCCTTCCTTCCCATTTTGGTTGTTGCTAGACCAAGACAAGATAGAACTGATGACTCCCCAGCACTCTGGTGTGCACTCTTAGGTGGGGCCTGGGAGAAGGAGCAGACACAAACAGGCCTCCACCCGACCCCCTACACACTTACTCTGTTTTTTCCATTTCCTCCACTCAATCCTCTGGCCATGTTCACCCTGGAGCAGGAGTAGAAAAGGTGTTAGGAGTGTGAAGCTGAACTGTGAACTGTCCCGCTGAGGGGGTCCAAGCCGGGAAGGAGTCCCACCCACAACAGTGCTGTCCTCTGTCCAAACAGGAAGGGAAGGAATGAGGGCGCACCTGTGCACCCCGGCTCCGAGACAGCGTCAGGAGGGCAAGCACCCACTGCACCTCCAGCGCCTGAGAACGGGCCCAGCACGCAGTATACACTCGGTAAGTGGATGAAAGAGTTACCGCCAGATAACAAAGGAAACGGGTTCAGGGAACCGAACCTGCCACAGACGTCTTAGGAGTCAGGTGAAGAAAGAGAAGCCACGAAAGGGGTTGTGGCTGCAAATTCCAGAATCTGGGGACCGCTAGAGTGCCCGCAGAGTGCCCCGGCGTGGGCCACGCGGCGCAGGGATGGCAGTCGTAGCTCCGACCCGTTGCCCCTTCTCTGGATGTCACCCCAGCTATGGCGCGCAAATCCAAGACCAAGCGTACTTTCGGGGCTCCTGGTCTTAGATCGGCGACAAACAGGAGGTGGGTGGGTGGCCTAAGCCCACCGCAGCGCCCTGTGTGGTTTTCTCACACGTCCTCTCCACAGCCACGTGAAGGAATTAAAAAAAAAAATAAAAATAACCCCCCTCAGCCACCTACCGGGCCGCACGGCCGCTTTCCCGCAACATCCGCCATGTTTCTTAGCACAAGAAAGCCACGCTCTTCCGAGCAGTCACACCTCTTCCGGGCACGCCCCCAGAGAACTGTCCAATCGAAGAGCCAGTGGCACGCGAGGGCGTGGTCTTGGCACTCGGCGTCTGGAGGTTGCACGTGGGCAAGACCCGGGCCTGAGCTGTCATCACGTTGGTGAATTAAGTGAGGTGTTGTCCTGAAAAGGGTCGAACGCCTGAAAAGGGTGACCCTCAGCTTACATCAGAGCTGGTGATTCAGAGCTCGAGAGGACGTTGGAGAAATAATGTCATCTAGTTCTTTTACACATTTATTCTTTTCTAAATTAATAAACTCGAGTCAATTTACTTATTCAGGAAATCTGTTTACTGAGCAGCACCTCTTAGACTCTTAAATAGGTTTTCAAGTATCGCTAATCCAAAATGTTGGCAGACTGAAAACCCACCTGGTGGCACTGTGGAAGAAAGGTCCGCGTGTCTATTTCCATAACGATTATTGCCAAGAAAAGCCTACAGACCCGGTTATTCTCTGTAACACTCTACAGCACCACAGGTTGGAACTGACTACATGACAGTCAACCTTGTTTTCTGTTTTGTTGGGGGTTTTTAAACTCCTGTGCATACACTGATCTGGAACTTAAAACCTTGTAGAGGAGAGAAAGTATTCAAATAACAAAACACATGAGCCCCTATGTTTTTCAAAGTAAAAGCAAAAGTTCTGTTTGAATATAAATGATCCATCATTGGCACTGGACCAATAAGCGATATCATGATAGATGGAGAAAAAATTAAAGTTGTCAATGATTTAATCTTAGTTGGATCCACAATCAGCACCCTTGGTACCAGCAGGCAGGAAATCAGGCAAAAATTTCGAGGCTCCATCTCACATACTTGCTTGCAAAAGGACAGCACAGGAGAAAACCCTAGATGAGATGGATTGACACAGTAACTGGGGTAATGAGGGAAGGTGTGTCAGACAGTAAGATTGGCTCAGGACAGAGCAGGGTTTACTATTCAGCTTTTGTGCATAGGGACATAATGAGTTGTAGTCATCTCAACATTTTACTGGGAAAGTCTGCAGTCAGGGACCTCTCCAAATTATTGAGAAGCAATGATGTCAATTTGAGGATTAAGGTGTGGCTGATCCAGGTCATGGTCTTTCCAATCACTTGCTATGCATCTGAGTGCTGGATGATGAATAAGGATGACAGAAGAATTGATGCCTTTGAGCTGTGAGGTTGGAGAAGCGTACTGAATATGCCATGGACAGCCAAGAGAAAAAACAAAAATATGTCTTGGACAAAGTGCACCCTGAATGCTCTTTGGAGGCAAAGATGATAAAGCTTTGTCTCACATACCTCAGGCATGTTGCTAGGAAAAGCTGTTCTTTGGAGAGAGACATCATGCCTGGAAAGGTAGAGGTTTGGTGAAGGAGGGGAAGGCTGTCAACCAGATGGATTGACACAGTGACTGCTGCAATGGGCTTGAGAGTGAGAGGATGGCACAGGATAAGACATGGTTCATATCTGATCAACTTTCTCATCCTCTACCCTCTGTACCTGTTCGTCAGGAGCTCTGTGGCTTAGCCTATAGTATGCTTCACTGATTACAAGGCCACGTGTCTTTAGTGGTTCAAACCCACCACTGGCTCCTTGGGAGAAAGATGGCAATCTCCTCCTGTTAAAAATGACCATCTCAGAAATCCAATCGAGTGCTTTGTTGGAATAGATTTCCCTTAGGCAGTGAGTTCATTGGCTTTTGAAGACCTGTGTGGAATGCACACCCACATTTATTGTGGCTTTGTTCACAATAGCAAGGAGTTGGAAACAACCCAAGTGCCCATCAACAAATGAATGGATAGAGAAGCTGTGGTATATTCACACAATGGAATACTATGCTGCATTGAAAAACAAGGAAGTCATGTAATATTATTCAAAATGGGTGACTCTGCGGGACATTATGCTGAGTGAAGTATTTCAGTCACAAAAGGAAAAATACTGCATGGTGCCACTATTGTAAAACAGGACTGACCTTGGGATTGGGGAGAGACTGAGAAAGATGGGTTCAATAATGTATACTGCATTGAAACAGATGAGGGAGAAAACTGTTTAAAACGGATATGTGAAAAAAAAAACGGATATGTGATTAGGTATTTTTGTCATCACGGGAGTCTAGAGCGAAGGCTACATGATGGAGTGGACCTGGGGAGGATTTGTAAATCAATGAAAGAATTTTTCTTTTACTTTTCCAAGAGGGTAGTGTACTAGGGGAGAGGGTTAGGAGGGGAGAAATGTGCAACAATGAATGAATGAATGGAAATCCAAAGTCTCTGTAAATTTTTACTGAAATTAATAATAAATTTAAATTTAAAAAAAAAGAATTATGATTGGAGGAAGAGTCATCATCATCCTGCTATACACAGATGACACAATCTTTATTGTCAGACTAAAAAGAGGATCAGACATCTAGGTTATTTCCATGGTCTTGTGATGGTGAATAATGCTGCTATAAACATTGATGTTTATGTCTAAAAAAAAAAAAAAGACCTTCGTGGACAGGCAGTTATTTACATACCTAAGAGACCAAAGTGCTAAAGAGCAACGTGTGGCTAATCAAAGTCATGGTATTTTCAATTGCTTCTTCACATCTGAAAGTTGGATGTGAATAAGGATGACAGAGGTAGAATTGATGCCTTTCGATTGTGGTGTTGGAAAAGAGTACAGAATACTCCATGGACTGCCAAAATAACAAACAAATCTTTTTGGAGGAAATGTTGCCAGAGTGCTCCTTAGAGGCAAAGATGGTAAAACTTTGTCTCATATATTTTGGCCATGTTGTCAGGAGGGGCCAGAGAGAAAACAGGATAGTTTGACACAGTGACCGACAGTGGGCTCAAGTATATCATAGACCATAGAGGGTGATGCAGGATAGGACAAGGTTCAACTCTGTGGTTCACAGGGTCGCGACGAGTCATGGTCCACTAAGATGGACACCTAACAACAACAACAAAGGAAGATCTACTATCTCTCACTGTCTGAGATCATGCTTTGAGTTTGGAATCTCTAATTAAATGTATGGGCAGAGGTTAAGGTCTAGCTTATGAGACATGGTCAGAGTTCCCCCACAAGAGACTCATCCATGGGTTTTCCTAACAAAGAACACTTCAGCAGCAGGTTAAGCATAATATGTCAAAGAGGGTTACGCCAAAGCCTTTGCATTGGCATTTTGTGTCATAGTCCTGACTTTGGAATGGCATGGAAGCAGGAGGGAATTGCTCTCCTCAGCATTTCCAAGTAAACATATGATATGTACAAAACTCATGTGCTTGCCATGCAAATACAAAAATAAGCTGGCTTCAAACAAATTCAAGAGCTGTCCTTGCTTCCCAGTGGGGAAGCAATAGGATCAAATCTCACTTCTACAGAATTTCAAATTCTCATGGAATCCAGACTTTTTAGAGTCACTAGGGCTAGATGAACCTCTGAAATTATTACCCTGAGATAACCTTTATATCTTCTATCAAAAATATTGTTCATGGACAAGAAAAGAAAGAAGGACAAGGACTTTGATTTCTAGTACCTTGAATTTTAACTCAGAAAAGAAATTTGTTTGTAAAGAAAAAAAATATTGTTCTTAGACCAATCACTAACCCACTGCTGTGAAGCCAAATTCTGGGTCAAACTCTTATGGACCCTACAAACAGGACAGGGAGGAACTGCACCATAAAATTTTACAGAAACAGATTTCCACATCTTTCTCATGGAGCAGCTGTAGTTTGACCCACCAATATTTTAGTTAGCAGCCAAAAACTCTTAATCACTGCAACCACCAGGCAGCTTAAACCAATTTAACTAGTAAAGAATGTCAGCTTTGAACATTATGATACATTAAGGTCAAGTTAATAAAAACCAAAACACAAACCCTCAGACTTATTGCTGTCACATCAGAATCGACTCATAGCTGAAATTACAGCATGTTGTCAGAGGCAGTAAATCACACTGCCCATCTTTCTCCCGAGGGGCTACAACTGGATTTGAACCACCTCTTTGGGTTGGCAGCACAACTCCTTATTTACTATTGGCACCAGAGCTCCCTCATTGTTGGGTTAAGAAGTCTGTGGCCCACCAAGGGGATAAGGTAGCTTGTTAATAATGTTAAACAGCACTTTTTGGGTGGGAAAATATGCAAAATGTGTAGATGTTAACGTGGGAGAGGTTCAGTTTTGCCAGTCTTAAATTCAGCAGGTTCAGGGACAGAAAATAGAGTCTCACTACCTTCAGGAAAGCTGTTTAGTCTAGAGATTCTCATGTAAGACAGATTGCAGCAGAGACCTAGAATGAAATACAGCAGTGGCACCAGTGACCCAGCGTAGTCTGAGACAGAGCTGAATTGATCTGCCACTCCAAGGAGGCAGAACCAAGAGTCTGGGTCTAGGCAGAGTGTGGGGGTTAGGGGGCGTCACCCAAGTTCCAGAATGTTAACACTCTAGGTCAGGCAGGGCCTAGGATCCAGAGGAAGGACGGAGGGAGTCTTACTGTTGAGCACACCTGAGAAGGAGCTGTTCTGACTAAAGAATTATTCTGTATTTCCAACCTAAACTGTAACCTGTTATTTTATAATAAACTATGATTATGAGTATTGACTGTGAGTTCTGTGTGGTTACTGCAATGTCACCCAAAGCCTGGTGGTTTGAATCCACTAGCTACTCAGAGGGAGAAAGATGGCAATCTCCTCCTATGGGATTTACAGCCTCTGAAAACCTGCTGGAAGGTCAGCTATGAGTCAGTTCCAACTTGACAGCAATGAGAGTTGAGAGTTAACTGGCAGTAGAGTAGTAGGAACTATAGGAGAGACAGTTGACATTAGAATCGATAAATGGCACAGGAGCATAGGGCCAAGTCTGACCTCAAAAGACCTGGTTTTGTGCTTTTTTTAAAAATTCTTTTAAATTTTTTTTTATTGTATTATTTTTAAGTGTACCGTCAAATCAGATCTGACTGGTACAGGAGGGATTGCCCCCTCCTTCTCCAGCAAAGCATCTGGTGGATTTGAACCACGTACCTCTGGGATTACAGTGCAGCGTCTTGCCACTAGGCCACCAGAGTTCCCTTGGTTTTGTGCTCTTAATGTTGTTTTTAGGGGATTCTTCCCCACGTGGAGTTAGGGGAGGTCAGAGGCCACCTCACTCCGGCAACACAGTTTTTATAGTGTTCTTATGCAAGGAAGAGGTAGGAAACACCTGCTTCCACCTTTTGCTAACTGGATAGCCTTGATGCACGAATCACCTAACTTCTTTCCTCATTGGTAAAACACAGATAGTGAACTCCTGTTTCACAGGGTTGCAGTGACTGTTCAATGAGTTGATGGTATGTAAGTCCCTGGCAAGAAGGACTTGCACATAACTAGTACTTTCTCTTTTAATTATGCCAATCCCTAGCACTCATTAAAGCAGTTCTCTGAGCTTTGTGTTCCTGTTAGCATCTTCTCTGTCAGACACTTGAGTTCGATCTCCATCTCCCACACACAAACACACAGTTCTGGGAAGCCAAATATAAAATTTAATATTAATAATAAACCAAATGCCATATCAGGATATAAGGGAGGTGTAATATAAGCTGGAGTTCACCCTGAGGCACCAAGGCATTCCTTAAGTTGTTCTTAATTTGTATTTACTCAATACCTCCCTCCTGAGATTAGCATAAGGTAAACAACAGAGAAGAACTAGCCTTATCTGCAAAAGACTTCCCATGATCCTTTGTTTTTATGTTCTATTCCCTTGTGATTATCCTTTGTTTACCTTTCTGGTGATTCTCAATAAATACACAGAAAGGTGCAGAAAGGCAGGGCTTGAGGCCTCTCAGTCATCAGGACTATTGGCCCTATCTTTACTCTCTCTTATCTCATTCTTGATTGTCTCATTATTACTTTACCCTCCTCTGCAACACACATTACACAACCTCACCCAATTCTTGTGCCCAGCACCAGTAACTGTTCAACATTGCCTGTCTTCAATACCATCTGATTTATAGGAGGTGAAAAATGCACTTAAGACTTAGTTCTCAGACGCATGCTGCTGATGACATGGTGTACACGCTGCAGGTGGAGGACAGGAACAAGAGGTTCATTTCTATCTACAGAGGACCCAGCCACACCTACAAGGTCCAGAGGCTGACAGAGTTGACATGCTACTCCTTCAGAATCCAGGCAGCCAGCGAGGCTGGCAAAGGGCCCTTCTCAGAAACCTACACCGTCAGCACATCCAAGAGTGTGCCCCCTGCCATCAAAGCCCCACGAGTGACAGAAGGGAATTCATGTGAAATTCTCTGGGAGACAGTTCCGCCAATGAAAGGCGATCCTATCAGCTACATTCTGCAGGTGTTGGTTGGAAGAGAATCTGAATACAAACAGGTGTACAAGGGAGAAGAAGCCACATTCCAAATCTCAGGCCTCCAGACAAACACAGACTACAGGTTCCGCGTGTGTGCGTGTTGTCGATGTCTCGACATCTCTCCGGAGCTAAGTGGAGCTTTCGGCCCCTCTGCAGCTTTTGTCTTACAACGAAATGAGGTCATGCTTACAGGGGACCTGGGGAGCTTAGACGACCCCAAAATGAAGAGCATGAAGCCTACTGATGAACAGTTTGCAGCCCTTATTGTGGTTGGCTTTGCGACTCTGTCGATTTTATTTGCCTTTATACTACAGTACTTCTTAATGAAGTAAACACACTCAGAGAAAAAAAAAAGACTTAGTTCTCGTCCTGCCTTTACAAAGAGTATGACCACAGGTAAGTCTCCAAGTTGCTGCCCATCTTTGGGCCAAGTTTTATCCCATAAAAACCGCATCATTGTACATTTGGTACAAAGGAGTGGCACCACCTGATGGTCCTTGAGGTTCCTTCCACTTCGACCAAGTCTTGGGCAACACCACAGTATGAAGCAGTCAACAAGGGTATAAATAATTTAAAACTTTATTGTGAGCAAAAAGTCCTGGCTTGAGGTTTTGGGTCTAAAGGTAACTTCAGGACACAGATGAGGAAAGGCATGGTGACACATGAGCTTTTTCTGGGGACAATACAGGGCTGGGCCTGGGGCTGGGACTTGAAGCTTCAGCCCTCTGGGTACCAGGAAAGTCAGGGGGCCCAGAGAAGACCCAATGCCTGACTTACCACCTCATTAGGGAGGAGCAGAGGGAGGCCCAGGCCACTCCGAGACTGGAGTGTAGGCACTATTTAGAGAGACTCCCCAAGGCTTAGAAGGAGGGCTCTTCTCTGGAGACATTCCGGGTCCTTAGTACCATTTCTGCCCATCCTGAGAATGGCTGAAGCATGGACAATGATGGATCCTTAAACAGCTGGTAAGAACAGGATGGCGCAGGGATAAGGGACAACTTCAGGGTGTGAGTTCAGCTTTCCATTTTTGCAGCTTCTCATCCATGGCCTGGAGTGTGGCTTCATCCTGTACCAACACCAGTCAGTGCTGCTCTGCTTCCCAAGGAGCCTCAGAAAGCCTTCCACCCCATAGCCTTGCCCTTTACCTTTACAAAGCAGAAGCGGATGTAGTGGTCAAAGAGCTTCTGATGTGGTACACTGTAGAAGACGGAGACTGGCATGGCCATCAAACCCTGGAGAAGAGGAAGCCCATGATTCAGCTCGGCTCTAAGGACCCCTGGCCAGCCTCCAGGGTGAGGGGGACACAGAGAGAGTCTCATGATGTGTCACAGTAAGGGAAGTCAGCCCAAATAGAGCACTAATAAATGCAGGTCAGAGGAAAAGAAAGCCAGAGTATTGTCCCAAATCCCTCCTTGTAAGAGGGAAGTGGAGGCTGAAAGAAAGGAAGGACATTTACAGAAACTGTGGACAGAAATAAGCCTTAGACTCACAGAATAGAGCTGGCACGAGACCTCTGAGAACACAGGCTGATTCCTTACTACACACATGGGGAAAATGGGGCCCAAAGCAGGGAAAGAACTCCTGTCAAATATGGCATCTTGTTCAAAGTTAAGAGACTGCCCATTACTTGAAGGGGATTCAGTGTGATACTAGACTCAGGATAGTGTCTGGGCTGGAGTCCGACCCGTTGGTCCTGCCCAGGGAGAAACTGTAAAACCAAGGCAAGCCCACCTTGTTCTTGATCATCCACTTGATGAAGCGACTGTCATAGGCCTCATCTTCAGCACCAGGCAAGTCTGGCATCTTGCTCTCTGGGGAACAGAGCCAAACTGAACCCTGGGCAGCCTTTCATCCCTCGGGCTCTCCCACCCTGCCCAGGCCCGCTGTCTACTCACTGAAGTCTGAGATGTCTGTGACAAGGAAGTAGCTACCCTGGGAGATGATGGGCCGCAGCCCCACCGACTGTAGGCTGCGTATCATGTGGTCCCTTTTGTGCTGGGTGGCCTCTGGGAGCTGGACAAAATAGCTGCTGGGCTCGCCGAAGTGCTGCTGCTCCCGCTCAAAGCTCCAGGCCACTGCAGCCTGGGGAGCATGGGTGGACAAGCAGATATGTCCGGTATGAATTGACTCCATGGCCAATCTGGGTCCTTTTCTTGCCCCTCCCCACCCCAGTGGCAGGTCCCTTCCTCACCTGGGTCTGTGTGGGACAGTGAAACACCGAGTTCTGGTGCACAGTCTTCAGGTGCTTCATGAGATGATCTGGGCCGAGGGCCCAGCCCACCTGGACCAGGAACACAGGTAGAGAGTGAGGCCCTCCATGCCTGGCCAAGCCTTTTGTTAGCACCCAGGCCACCCTGCTGGCCAAGACTTACAGGGTGCTCTCATGCACTTACCTTCCAGCCGGTGGCACTAAACGTCTTGCCAGCACTGCCGATGGTCAGGGTGCGTTCCCACATGCCAGGAAGACTGGCTGCCCGAGGCCAAAGAGAACAGACGGGGTTAGAGGTGGGGCTGAGGAGAGGTACGGTCTGGGTCCCAAGGGTCATTCACAGGCTCTTAACATTGAAGGACCATCTAAGTGCTAAGCTATTTATAGGACTTACTGTCTCTTCCTCAGGACCACCCAGGGAGGCAGGTGCATTGCCAGAGAAGTCACTGCCCAAATTCATGCAACCTGTGTGGCTCCAACCCCTCAGTCCTAATCACCAGGCCCGAACTGACTCCTAGACTGGGCTCAAGGCCCACCACAGGTGAGGCAGGCCAGGCCAGAGGGAACGTCCAGAACCCAGCTCACCGATGCTTATGTGCTGGTTCCCGTCAAAGACCAGCCACTGGTAGACCTCATCACTGATGCACACCACGTCATGCTGCTGGCACAAGCTGGCCACCAACTCCAGTTCTGCCTTGGAGAAGACCTGTGAGGACCCAAGAGGGCATACAGGCCTGCAGCTGGGACACTCCTCCCCAGATCTTTGGGAGGCCTGCTCAGAAAGAGGTTGAAGGATCCAGCCAAGCCTGGTTCTTAAGGAGTTTACCTGTATTATACCACTGAATTCCCACCTCACTGGCCCTGTGAGTTTGATTCTGCCACGCTCTCATTTTACAGATGAGGTAGCACTTTGGGGAGCAAAGTTACCGCCCCCAGGTCACTGGGAGGTGATGGCTGCACCTGGCCCACTAGCCCTGGTACCTTCCCTGGAAGGCTCAGTGCTCACAAGGGACTTTGAAGCAGAGGTACTGAAAGCCCTGAGCCTGAAGGAGGCCCTTATTGCATACTGCCTGCAGCCTTCCCATTTCACAAATGAAGTAGAGGCCCAGAGACAGAAAGGATTTAGTTGAAGCTAATCACAAGAATTGAGACCTGGAGGATTTCTGGGAAGGAGATCCCTTTGGTACCTTTCCCAGAGGGTTGTTGGGTGTGTTGAGGATCAAGACTTTGGTGCGAGATGTAAATTTGCTGGCCAACTCTGTAGGGTCCAGGTGCCAGTTGCTGCTGGAATCCAGTTCCCCATTATTGGAGGGGCTCTACAATAAAAAGTGGGAGAGAGGGGTGAAATACTCAGGGATTTGACCCTCCTCCTCCTCTGCATCTGTGCCCACCTTCTTCCCCCTGGGGTTCCAGACCACCCCACTCCCCTCATCTCAGAGGAACAGGCCTTTTTAAATTTCTTTCTTCTTTCAGAAATCCAACCCAGCTCATTGCTTGGATCCCTCTGCTGACCCTCAGCCCACCTGGTGATCTTACCAACTTCAGGGGCATAAATACAGGGTGACCTCCGGCCATCAATGTCATGGGCTCATAACAGTCAAAAAAGGGTTCAATGATGATGACCTGGGTATGAAGGTTAGATTTGCTGGAGTCAACATTACCTTGACCTCTCAACCTAATCTAGCCCAAAGCTGGCCCACTCACCTCATCTCCTTCGTCCACCAAGGCTTGGAAAGCTGTGAACAGGGCTCCATAAGCACCCACAGTCACCAGCACATTCTTGAGGGGGTCCATTTCCTGCCCCAGCAGCTTCCCAAAGAAGCTTGCCAGGACCTTTGTCAGTGGTGGGTGTCCCTGCCAGGACAGTAATAGTCAGTGGTCTCAGCTACCTGAGCCAGTCTGGGCCCACCTTCCCACTCAGCTGGATGTAGATTTTTTTGGGGAAGTCAGTTCTTATGGGGTGAGCTCTTTAACTCCTCCACCAGAGGACTGAGCCAGCTGCGGGCGAGGCCTGACATCCAAGGCTGGGATGTGGTAGAGAATCAGCCCCAGTGTGTCCTCAGAGAGTACAGGCTAAGGGAGCCCTTGATGTAGTGGGAACTCCACACTTTAAACATAACCCTTCGGTTACAGAGCACATTTACTGCTCCTCACAGGTACCTTGTAAATGTGGCATTATTTAATCCTCATTGTTTGACAAGTGTGAATTAGATACCCAGAGAAAGAAAATTACTTTCCCAAGGTTACACAAAGTCTTAAGGTTTGTTTGTTTATTTTGAGTTGCAGTTCAACAGGACTTGATGCTTTGGAAGCACTCCATTTTGTGAGGACTACTCGATCTGTAAGTGTGTATCAAGAGGATGCTGATAAAATACTCAAGGCCAAGCCAAATGACTGAAACCTAAGGTTCAGAGCCCAACTGACTTATTATTTAACCAGACTGAATGAGGTAAAAATAAAAATTGTCTGTATAATAAAATATATCATGAAAAGACAAAGAGGAAAAAAATTACAACATAAGGAAAAGAGATTAGGGGGGATTGCACAACAATGAAAGAACTTTTTTCAAAGAAAAAGCGAACTGGGGATGGTGGGTAGGGAGGAAAATGTGCAACCATGAGTGAATGAAAATCCAAGTTTTTTATAAACTTTAATTAAAATCTCAATTAAAAAAAGAAAAAAGAGATAAGATATTTAATATATAAAGAGTTCTTACAAAGCAATATGAAAAAGATATATATTCAAGTGAAAAAATTCAAATCAGCAAAGATATTTTATGAAGTAAAAGTGCTGATGTCTGATTACATATGAAAATAATAACTACAGAAAAGCAGATGAAAGTAACAGAAAAATATCACAATAATATTATAAAAATGTAACACTAATATACAGCGATATGAAAATATTGATACTGCCCACAGCTGGCCAGGATGAAAGGAACCCTCTCTGAGATTCAAGGAATTAACTAACTTTCCAGTCACATATTTATTTAAAAAAAGTAAGGCACTCTAGTGGCCTAGTGGCCAGAAGCTGCACTGCAATTCTGAAGGCACACAGTTTTGGGTTTTTTTATTATTTTTTTTTGTTGTTTTTATTATTTTGTGTGTGTATACCGTCAAATCAGATCTGACTGGTACAGGAGGAGATTGTCCCTCCTTCTCCAGCAGAGCATCTGGTGGATTCGAACCGCATACTTCTAGGATTGCAGTGCAGCTTCTTGCCACTAGGCCACCAGAGCTAGCCAAGGCACACAGTTTGAAGTCATCAGCTGTTCCATGGGCAATCTCCTCCCATTGTGATTAACTGTCTTTGAAAACTCGCTGGAGGGTCAGCTATGGGTCAGTTCCCACTCTATGGTACACAACAACAACAAGAAAATATATATAGGTATGTGTATATAATGTATGTTTATATAGGTATTTTTAGAAGGCTTAAAACTCTGGAAAACTATACTAGACATTCTAGAATCAGGAGTTAGAATTGCCTTCCCTGTGGGTACATTGCTCTCCATACCTAGTCCCAACAGTTGAGTCCAACTCAGAGGGCCATCTCTGGATTTCGAAGGCCAGAAATCTTTACAGAACCAGAGAGCCTATTTTCCTTCTTTAGAGCAGCTACTGGATTTGAACCATTGACTTTTTTGTTAGCAGCCAAACATAGTGTGACACACTATGCCACCAGAACTCAGTGTGGGTATTGTAATTAATACCATAAAACAAAACATGCATGCAGGTTCAATGGAAAACAAATTTACTCTGTAAACATTCCTGAAATTACAACAAAAAGAGTTTTTACAAGTTTCATTTTTTTTTTTAAAAAGCAGCATTTTTCTCCATAGTCTTCTCAGAACAGGGTACTCATACATTTAGATAATTTTATAAGCCACAAATGTTCATTATTTTAAAATTTATTTTTTTATTAATAGAGTGATATTTTACCGTATGTTTATGGCTATCTTTTGTAAATTATCTATTTATGGCTATCTTTTGTAAATTATCTATTTATTTCCCTATTAGCATGTTTGCTCTCTTCTTTCCCAATACTTAGGCTTCTTAAGAGGATGTTTTTAAAGTCAAATTGGATAGGTTCTTCGTAAAATAAAGATATTAACTGTTAAAAAAAAAGAAAAACTGGTGAGCTCTGGTGGTCTAATGGCGAGAAGCTGCACTGCAACAGAGGTGCACGGTTCAAATCCACCAGATGCTTTGCTAGAGAAGGAGGGACAATCTCCTCCTGTACCAGTCAGATCCGATTTGACAATACATACAAAAGAAAAAAAGAATACTTTTTTTTTAAAAAAAAAGAACCACTGTTCTATTTCGGGGCCAGATATTTACAATCTGGCCCTTTAGAGAAAAAAAAAAAAAGAGATTGGAGTCTAACCCAATCAACAGCGTATCTTTAGGGCTCAACTTGGGTATCACCTCCTCCAGGAATTTTTTCCTGACTCACATCTCCTTTCTATTCTTTTGTTACTGCTCCCACAGTACCTCACTCATCTTCCTTTATTACAGCATTTATCAACCGGCTTGTCATTACTGGTTTCTTGTTAACCTTACTCACTAAATTCCCAGCAAGGGGCCTGGAGTAGAGGGAGCACTGAGTGAACACTGAACTATGGCTGACCTGAATTCTTCAGCTCTTCCCACGCCAACCTTTGGCCACTGGTGCTGTTTTTGACGGCCTGACACCTATGTGGGCTCAGTGTTCCCCGTGTCCCCTGCTAGGCTGCCTTAATATCTTGTGCCGGGGTCTAGAAGGGGCCTGGAGACTCACAAATCCCTTGGTGTACTGGTTGAGCATGATGTCACTGCTGACGGCGTGCTGAAAGGCTTTCATGGCGAAGTCTGGGGGTGCAAAGTCGGGGAAGCCCTGGCCCAGGTTTACACACTCATTTTCACTGGCCAGTTTGATAAACTCCACCCTGCGTGACAAAAAGAAAAATTGGTACCCCACCCTGGACTTCAGCCCACTTCCAGGACATAGTGAGGAGGACATAGATGCTGATCTAGAAAAAATGGACAATTAGCTTCCACCTCCAGTCTGGATAACTGTGTGAGGATCAAAACTAGTCCCATGCTTTGTGCATGGGGGCTGTGGTGGATTGAGAGGTGTGTCTCCAAAACGCATGTATGTAATGATATAACCCTTGCACATGATCTGATAAATCAAATAGTTGTAAATGGATTAAGGGTGGAACACAACTCCTTACTCCTATTACAGCCAAGCTCCAATATAAATGGAGTTTCCCTAGGGTGTGGCCTGTAACATGTTTTATCTCATTAGAGCTAAAAGGTAAGAAAAGAGAACCAATGATGGAGGAGCATCTGTACCCCAATCAGTACCCCAGTCACTAGGAGTGGAGTGTGTCCTTTGGACTTGGGTCTCTGAGAGAGGAAGTTCTTTGAACATCATAGAAGGGCAGGACACAGAGGGACCACCAAGCAATGCCTGGGCCACAGATGGTGAAGGAAATGGATTTTCCTCCACCATCCACAGAATGCACCTTCTGCTAGAGCTGGCTGGCATCCTGAGTTTACACTTTTAGCCTCCTAAACTATAAGAGAATAAATTTCATTTTGTGAAAGCGATTTGCCTGGAGATCTCGGTTGAGCAACAGTAAATAACCAAGACTGTGGCCAGGTACAACGCACAGCCTGTATTAGCCCAGGAGCTTTTTTTGTTTGTTTTTTGACCTGAGGCATATTAAGAATTATTTTGTACATCACAAACCCTATAAAGTAGAAACCCAGGAACATCATTCATCATTCTAGATGTGATCTACCTACCGTAGGATTTTGTTTCTCTTCTTTAAAAATACTTGTTGAGCTCCCTCAATTATAGTTTATGACCCACTAATGCATTTGTCAAGATGAAAGTTGACACTTCGATCAGATAATCTTTCATGTAGTCTTACTGGAATGGTTCCTTTTTCTGGCTGGCTATCAGATAGAGAAGCTGAAATTTGCAGTGACTTGCCCATGGTCTCCATGCTAGGGCATGACAGATTTAAGCTTTGACATGAAGAAAAGTTTATGTTCTTAACCACTCCATTGGACAGAGGGACCCTGCCATCCGTGGCTCCAGCATCCCTTCTTTTTGCCCTGTCTGGGACCACCTATCCAGAGTAATGGAGAGACCAACAGGCTGGATAAGAGGGTACAATGTAATGTCCAGGTGGCCAGGGGCAGATGAGTCAGGCTTGAACTCCCCGGAGTGGCTCAGCATAATAGTAAATATTATGTATGTCTAAAATATGCTCTTTCTCCCCACATTCCTCAAGGCCTCTCAAGACACACAGTTGCCAATGCTCAGAGAGCAGTGACTTCCTGATCAGCTAATGGCAGAGCTGAGACTTAACTTTAGAGGGTGGATGCTCCACAGTGGGACATAGGCCCTACGGCCTCATGGGGTCTGCAGGAGTTGGAGGCCCTCATTTGCCCTGACCAAATGGCCTTCAACCTCCTCTGCAGTCCTCCAAGGCCAGCTACTGCTTTGCCTTGTTTTTCTGAGAATATTTTTTTCTGGCTAAGGCATCATAGTAAGAATGAAACTTTACACCACAAACTCTCTCCTGGCCTCAGTCTCCTCCTCTGTACATTGGGTATGAGGGTCTTACAGGATCCAACAACTCTGCTGGGTTGTTAGGCCAACTCTGTGGCCCTCTTCAGCCCGTGTGCCTGAAGTTTCCTCCCTCTGCATTACATTATTCTGAAACATGGAGTCACAGGTCTACCCAACCTGCCTCACAGAGAAGACTCCAAAAGATGAAGGTGGAATTGTATGTGAAATTAAAAAACCCTAGAAGGCCCTTAGCCTGGTGACTGGGTTACCATAGTAAACTATACGGGTCACCACAGAAGTAGGATACTACTGCTATCATATAGTTTTTTACCTTCTTCCATGGGCCCTTCAGCGATGGCTTAATAGTTATTTCCATTTTGTAGCCGGAAGCTGTGACTTGGAGCTGATGCTCACTGGCCCTGGTATGACTGCCAGGCATAGTGAAGATAAGTTTCAAACCAAACCTGGATTCAGAGTCCCTCCCCAACATCAGCAGTTCCTTGGCAGCCCCTTGGCTGTGGCTGCAAATCTCAAACACCATACACTGAGGTCACTTTGGGTTCCACTGCCATACAGCAGACTCGATGACAAAAGCCATCCCACCCCTGTGCCCAAATGGGCACCACACGTCCCAGGCCCAGCTCACCAAGGGTTCTTGTCAATCCCGTCCAGCCTTCGGGCTTGCAGCCGCCTGGCCATGGCCACCTGGAGACAGTGAGAGTGCATTTAAAGTCCAAGTACATGGCAGCCTGGTCTGGCTGTTGAGAGGTGGCTGCTTTCTGGGCACAGCCTTACCCTCCCCACATCCTGGGAGGAAACAGATCAGAGATAGTGGGGCTGGTCACCAGCCGGCCTCCCCAGCCGGTCCTGGCAGGCTCCTCTCCTCGCCAGCCTCCAAACCGCCTACATGTGAAGCCTGCAGGCTCAGCCTCCCCCAGTCTCCCATGGGAGAGCAGGGTTCCTTCTCAAACTGAGCCCTGGCTCAACAGGATTAAAGAGTGGTTTTAAAGGGCTGGGTGATAAGGAGGAGAAGCAAGAGAAGCAGGCATCACAAAGGGGCCCTTTAGAGTAGTGAGAGAAGATCTTCACCCTGAAACCCACAGCGTCCCTTTTCAGCAGGAAGTAGCTAAGAGAATACGCCGTCCCCTTTTCCTTATGACTCAGGGTGAAGTCTCTCTCAGGGAGGAGTGATAGGGAATGGCAAAGGATACACTGACAAAGAAGATTAATCAGAACTGGCTTTGACAAGCACTGTGGCATTTGGACAAGAACAAACTGGGAGGAGGGTAGAGAGAATAGTGCAACAATGAGTGAGTGGAGGCCCAAAATCTCTGTAAATGTTTATGAAAATTAATAAAATATAATTATAGAAAAAAAAAAAAAGAGAAGCAGGCATCAGGAGAACAGCAATTACGACAGTGAGACCAGCTTTCCATTTGCTGCGGGCCTGGCCTTCATTTAAGCTTTTTCACTTAATTCTCAGGTCAATTTGCAGGTAGTATGGCTGGGCCCATTTTACAGATGTGAAAATGAGGCACTGAGGGGAGTAGTCTGCTCAAGGTCACACAGTACTTTCAGATTCAAGCTTGTTTGACATAAACCATCTTCTGACTGAGGAGAGAGGGAGACTTTTTGGTCCTGGGAGGGGCGCAGGGATCCTCATTTCCCTTTAGACCCTCTTCCTCCTGGATTCCTGTCAGGACATCTAAGTCCTCTCTCCCAAGGTCTGCAGAAACTGGTGGGTCTTAAGTCTCCAAGCTGCCTTGGTTGGGTGGCACTGACCGGTGATTTTAGCTTCTGCTGACATCAGTGTCCCCATCAGCATGGGCTCTGTGATCCCTCAGTCATCCTCTGGTCTAGATGGCTGGTATGTAGTGGAACCAGGTTTCCAACATTAGTTCTGGCTAACAGAGATCCTCTCTGTGTTTTCCCTGAACTTATGATCTCCTTCAGTCCCCACAGAACAGAAGATAGAGTGATCATCCTCATTTCATGAAATGAAAACAGTGAGGCTTGACGAGATGCAGAGACTCATCAGTGGAGAAGCTGGCCAGGATGACTATAGCAGTAGAGCTCCAACTACTAGGCCCTCCGACCCGGAAGGGGACAATAGGGACAGAATATCTTCTCCCAGACAGCCTGGGTATGTTGAAGTGAGTGATTGGCAAAGGACCCAGCATGAGATCTGGCACCTACTGAGTGCTTTGCCAATACTTGCAGCCCCATTCCTTCACTGGGTCACCCGTCACCAAGCCTCACATCATCACCAAGCCTGGCACCCAGTACACTCTAAAACAAGGGTGATCCCTGCCAGGAAAAGATCGTATTATAGCCAAAATGTTAGTAGTGGCCGTCTTTGATTGTTGTTGTTGTTATGTGCCGTCGAGTCGTTTCCGACTCATAGCGACCCTATGCACAACAGCCCTAAACCCTGCTCTATCCTGCGCCAACCGCACCGCCTCTGACACACCCATCCCGATTACCCCAGTCACCGAATCAATCCATCTCATAGAGGGTCTTCCCCTCCTGCGCTGTCCCTCAACCCTCCCAAGCATGATGTCCCTCTCCAAGGACCCGTCCCTCCTGGCAACATGTCCAAAGTATGTCAGACGAAGCCCCAGAATCCTTGCCTCCAAGGAGTAGCTTGGTTTAACCCTCTCCAGGATGAATCTGTTTGTTTTCTTGGCAGTCCATGGTACATTCAATACTCTTCTCCAGCACCACAGCTCAAAGGCATCAATTCTCCTTCTGTCCTCCCTAGTCATTGTGCAACTCTCTGATGCATAACAAGTGATTGCAAAGACCATGGCTTGTATCAGGTGCACCTTAGTCTCCAGAGAGACACTGTTGCTCTTAAATACTTCAGAGAGGTCCCTAACAGCAGACTTTCCCATCGCGATACGCTTTTTGATTTCCTGACTGCTGGTGCCAAGAGTGTTGACTGTGGAGCCGAGCAAACTGAAGCTGTGAACAATCTCAATCTCTTCGTCACCCATCCTGATGCTGCCAATTGGTCCAGTGGTGAGAATCTTTGTCTTTTTGACATTGAGCCTCAGTCCATACTGAAGGCTGCAGTCCTCGACCCTTCGCAGCATATGCATGAGGTCCTCCTCAGTTTCAGCAAGCAGGGTTGTGTCATCTGCATAACGGAGATTGTTAATAGACCTTCCACCAATCCTGATGCCACAATTCTCCTCATAGAGCCCAGCCTCTCGGATAATCTGCTCTGCATACATGTTGAAAAGGTATGGAGACAGGATGCATCCCTGGCGTACACCCTTCCCAATTTTGAACCATGCAGTGTTACCCTGCTCTGTTCTGACTACTGCCTCTTGGTCCAAGTATAGGTTTCGTATTAGCACAATTAAATGTTCTGGGATTCCCATTCTTCTCAGAGTCAGCCACAGTTTGTTATGATCCACACAGTCAAATGCCTTTGCATAATCAATGAAACACAGATAGACATTCTTCTGGTATTCTCTGCTTTCAGCCAAGATCCATCTAACATCAGCAACAATATCCCTAGTACCACGAGCCCTTCTAAACCCAGCCTGGACTTCCGGCAGTTCTCTGCTGATGTGCTGTTCCAACCGTTTTTGGATGATCTTCAGCAGAATCTTGCTTGCATGTGAAATCAATGACACTGTTCTGTAGTTTCCACACTCAGTTGGGTCACCTTTCTTTGGAATGGGAACAAATATAGATCTCTTCCAGTCAGTTGGCCAAGTGGTTGTTCTCCAGATTTCTTGGCACAACTTGGTGAGCACATCCAGGGCAACATCTGTTATCTGAAATACTTCAATTGGTATACCATCTATTCCTGGGGCCTTATTTTTTGCTATTTCCTTCAAAGCAGCTTGAACTTCTTCCTTCATCACCATAGGCTCTTGCTTATATGTTATTTCTTTAAATTCCTCTGTATCTGCCAATTCCTTTCTATATAATGACTCAGTATATTCCTTCCATCTTCTTTTAATACTTCCTGGATCATTTAATATTCTGCCCAAAGCATCCTTGATTACAGCAACTCTAGGTTTGAATCTGTTCTTCAGTTCCTTGAGCTTAAGAAATGCTGAGCAAAAAAAAAAAAAAGAAATGCTGAGCGAGTCCGGCCCTTTTGATTTTCTGACTCTAGCTCCTCGCAAATCTCATTGTAGTATTTTGCTTTGTCATTCCGAGCAGCCTTTTGGAATCTTCTGTTCAGCTCTTTAGTATCTTGAATTCTTCCTTGTGCTTTGGCTTCTCTGCGTCTTTGATTGGTTAGTTAATAATTTTAAAATTTTCTTAAATAAATGTGTAGGAGACAACTGTACATTAAAAAAAATTGTTGATGTGGTATATTGTTATCAACAAAACAGGCTACAGAAAGCCTGTTCAGTATAATTCTGCTTTGGTAATTTTTAAAAAACAAACCAACTGATACATACATATATACATGTTTTCTAGGAACATGTACATATAGAAAGCTATGAAAGAAATACATCAAATTGTTAGCAAAGGTATTTTCTGAATGGAGGAATGATATAAAATCCAAACTCTTTCATTGTTGAATGGATTTTAATCAAGGCTATAAATCTTTATAGGAGGAGACTGAGTGAGGATCTTACCTCTGGGGAGCAGTTGGTGGATTCAAACTTCTGACCTTTTGGTGAGCAGCGCAATTCATAATGTACTATACCAGCAAGTTTCTTGGGATGAATCATGGGTAATTTTAATTGTTTCCAAATTTGTTGTATAAAAGTGCAGTGAATGAACCCTACCTGATCAATTCTGAAATGTATATATTTTTCACTTTGAGCTACCTCTGAATTTAGTTAGGTATATCTAACAATAAGTGACATGAGTTTAGTTGGCATTTTATTTTCTTTTTGATCTATAAAATAACAGTACATCTTACAAATGATGATGGCATTTTAGGTCTGATGAGCGGTGGAAATGTTTTTGAATGGAGGATGCTTTACATGAAAAAACCTAATATAAGATAAGGGAGAGTAGGGAGGGAAGGTAGGAGACAGAAGCCGAAGTGAAAAACTTTGAAGGCAGCTGGAATGGGAGTAAGACTAGAAGAAGGATTCAGGAACACGGAAAGAGAGGCAGAAGAAAGGAAGTGGTAAATATTACTAAATAGGTTTAGAAAATGAAGAAATAAAGGGATATCAGAAAACTGGGGTGCTCATGAGTGAATTTCAAGTACATCAAAGACTGCTTAGATATGTGGGGAAAAAACACAAATAAAAACAAAACTACTTGTTGTTGGATTTATGCACTTACTCAGTGAATGTTTACTGAGCATCTATTGTGTACTGAGCCTTGGGCTTGTGCATAAGGGATGAAATGGGAAGCAACAGCACCAAGCAGACCATTCAGATGCAGAGCAATAACCTCCAAACTAAAGGCAAGCCCAAGGGAGGGTCCCACATCCAGGCTGCAGGCGGGAGGACATCCTAAACCAGGAGGCTACACACAAGCGAGAGCCAAGCTGGACCCCAGGAACCCCAGGCCATGCAGGTGGCAGAGTGGAGGGGCTGGAGCACTTACAGTTTGGTGCAAGCACCTGGTGAACGAGGAGGCTCCAGCCTTCTTTCCCTGGAGAGGCCCTGCCAGGTACACAAAGATGGCCGCCACCTTCCTGAACATGCCTCCCTGAGCCGCCGGGTACTGCTGACTTCTCCAAATGCAGAGAAGGGAAGAGAGAGTCCTAGC